CGGAGTGCCTTCGCTTTGGGGACATGAGTGTTTGACATGTGGAGTGCCTTCACTTTGAGGACATGCCAGTGAGCATTTGACATGCAGAGTGCCGTCGCTTTGAGGACACATCACAGAAGCCTCCGCCAATAGTACGCGTCACCTGTCATGCGGTCCCCCCAATGAACATGGGAGCTGTGACAAAAAGGGCAGGGTATTGGAGAGCGTTTGACATGCAGAGGGCCTTCGCTTTGAAGACATGAGCGTTTGACATGCGGAGTGCCTTCGCTTTGAGACATCACAGAAGCCTCCGCCAATAGTAAAGGACAAGGAGAAAAAGCTCTACTGTGTCTACGTTGCTGTCGGCCAGAAGCGTTCAACTGTTGCTCAGCTTGTCAAGACCCTTGAGGAAAATGACGCAATGAAGTACTCTACCATTGTTGCTGCTACCGCCTCGGAGGCTGCTCCCCTGCAGTACCTTGCGCCCTTCTCTGGCTGTGCCATGGGTTCAATGAACATGGGAGCTGCGACCAAAATGGCAGGATATCGGAGAGCATTTGACATGTGGAGGGCCTTCACTTTGAGGACATGAGCATTTGACATGCGGAGTGCCTTCGCTTTGAGACATCACAGAAGCCTCCGTTAATGGTACGCGTCACCTGGAATGCAGTCCCCCTGATGAACACGATGACCACTTGCACAGTGATCCCTACAAACCAGCCATGAGGGTAGTCCAGACACCACATTATTCAACTCACCAATAAAGGTAATCGTACTGATCATAGAAACAAGACATGTCGGAGACCAGCGTCTGTGCAATGGTGTCGTGTCCTGGTGTCTCCATGGGGCTCGGGATCTTGATGCCAGGGAAGTGGGGTAGCAGACGGTGATCTGATAGACAGACTGCAACAAGATCTGCTTGTACATATCCACCGTGAAAAGTGGCGCTGTCTGCCTATTGGACTTCTGGTGTAGAAGTAATGAATATGTGAGAATAAGGTTCTCATGCACGCTAGAATTGCGTTTAACCCTTACCTGACTTCAAATGCTGGTCAGTCGAGGTCCAGTATGTTCATGCAACAGACCCGAAACATCCTGAGAAGTTGATCGAGAACGATCCTTTGAGCATCAAATGAACCATAGCCAAAGTGGTCAGAAGGCTATGATTGGCTACCAAATGATGGGTGCCATCACACCTTTTGGGTATCAATCAAGAACGTGTTGTCCTTTACTGGAAGATAGCGTGATCAATCAGCTCTGTAGGTCAAAAAGATCGATGAGATAGCGGTCGTATAGAGTATCATCGAACACATACCAGGCCCAGAGTCCAATGTCAATGTGCCATGCTGGTGAGGCGTGGCAAAACCCTGAAATCATCTAAGTCCGAATTTGAGCCATTTTAGTTATTACTACTACCACCACTGTAAAATTGACGAAATTTGCTCACCTTTCAAGTCTTGCTCCTTTCAACACTCCGACTCATCATAATGTCTACTCGCCGTGTTACCCGCACCAAGAATGCAACTCAGCATCCTGGTCTTCCAGATGTGGTCCCAAAGAAGAAATGTCATACTGCAGCAGAAGTAGCTGCTGAGCGTCAATTCAAGATAGACGCCAAAGAAGCAAAGGAATGTACCAAAAGCGCTGGGATCAAACGAGTTGCCGAATACGAGAAGAACCAAGCCGACAAGGACGTGTTGACCGACACTACCCCGAGGGCTGCAGCCTTACCAAAGCCAAAGCCCCATCCAAGGCCCATTCCGAAGAAGATTTGTGTCAAACCCACCCCGCCGCCTGTCGAAGACAACACGTTCATTTCTGATGTCAAGATGGATGACACCGTCGCTGACACCAGCACCTTCAATCCAGATCCATCCCAAGCCTCAGAAACAACTGACTCCAATACAGATGACTCAGAGCTGAGTGAAAATCCTGCGTCACCGCCGAAAAAGAAGGCGAAGGTCGACAAACAGGAGGGCACGAAGGTGCAGGCTAAGAAGCCTAAGGTACGGGATGCAATCAAGGCGGCGCAACTTGAAGAGGTGAATGAGCAGGAGAAGAATAAGAAGAGGAAGATAGACCCACCTGCCAGCACAATAAGTATTGAATCAGATATGGAGTCGAGTGTCCAGGTTATCGACACGACACCTCAGGCGGCTCACAGCAAAAGATCAGCCCTCCCAGCTGACAGCCTCGATGACAATGTCATGGTCACCGACCCTCCAACCCGGAATGTGCCTAAGAAGGCTCCTAGTATAAAATCAGCCCCGCCAGCTCAGGTCGATCGCTCAGATGACGAACCTATGGATACTGATCTCCCAGATAAGCCTCAGTGGGCAATGCCGGTCTTGAGCAATGAGAACACACCAAAGGCACGGCCTCATGATAATCAGACTGAAGAAAGGGGTAGCAGGAAGGAGAAGGCAATGGAGAAGCCCAATGATAAGGGGAAGGGGAAGGGGAAGGGCGACCAAAAATGTGATAAGAAACTTCAGCCGATAAGGTACGATGTTCAATTCTTCTTTTCCTGTTGTGACTTGTCCCATCAATATCATGCTCACCCTCGACGAAACAACCCTTTATTATTTTTTTCTCAGTGATTCTACTAGTACTACCAACCCAAAGGAATTTTCAACTGGCATCAATGATTGGGCCGCAAGCATCCCAAAGAACGCAAAGCCTGGTAGCAAGGCCAACACCAGCCAGCCCAGCATTTTTAAAAATAGCTCAACCTCGCGCCGCAATGGATCCGTTCTTCCCCCCCTGACCAATGGCAGCACTCGATCATCGTCTAATTCAGTCCTGACCAACAACGTTTTGATTTCTCACGCCGCGCCGGTGATTCACATCAATGAAGAACCCAAAAAGAACAGTCGCCTGGAAATCATTGATGGAGGACTCTCTGACGAGGACGAGACCCAAGGTCTTGAATGTGAGGCTGCGATCGCTAGCCCTCCCAAAGGGAAAAAACGAGTTACGAGCGCAATGAGTGTCTGTTTTGACATTGTGTTTATTTCCACTACTGACTACTACTACAGGCTCTTGTTAAAGGCTCCCCTGTCCGTCAAACTGAACGAGCGAAGAAACCCAGCAATGACGACCTCCCCGAAGGCATCGATCAGAAAATTTGGCGCCGTGTCTTTATCTCAACATACATCCAATATGTCGCGACATTGGCCAATCCCTGGGAGGTTCCCACCAAGCTGGCGTGTGAGAAGATGCAGGTGATTTGGGATGCAGTCTTTCCCAACATCACCCACACAGTGTCAAGCCTTAGTTCAGTCTACTACATTGTAAGTGCGCTCAATTTTATCAATGGTGGTACTAATTTAGATGTACTTCAATATAGGCTGTCCAGCGAGTCGCTGACTCCTACCGCAGCCACATTGGCTCCACGGCTATTGCAATTGTCATCGCGTACCTCAAATCTCAGGACTCGCTGAGGGACTCCGACGATAATCGAGCCGAATTTGCGGAGTATGCACTCAGCAACCTTCGGTTCTTATACAAGAAGGTGAATGGCGATGACAAGTCTGTAAGTACTTCTTCCATCTCAATCAATTACCGAGTTGTCATTGTGCTAATGCTTAGTGCAGAAATTCTGGGGCCTTTATCAAGGTGCATTTATTGTGCAAACCTTTGGTGCACACTTCACCGCAACCCGTGGCGCTCGGAAGATACCTGGGGTAGACAAGCCAGGTGTACTGGCGAATCCTGCTGGGGGTCTCGCATTGTCGTGTGCCGCGGTATGTACTTGTCATTTTTTTATTCTTTAATCTCACCAACTGTTTTAACTAGGTCGAACGAGCATTGACCCTCTGGTCTACTCGTACGCTCACCATTAAAATGGTTCAGGCCGCGAAGAACAAAACTAGCATTTCGTTGCCGAAGACAATGAATCAGACTACCGGCAAGGTGTCCTGTTGGCAAACAGGATTCAACGACGTCTCCTGGGGTACATCTACACGTGCCTATGCGAAGGCTATCATGAAGAACCTCCACGAGGACAAGTTCGAAGTCATCATTGCATCTGCCATGGAATTCTCGAAGAAGAAGAGTCATCCTGGCGATGACGTCAACGATGCTGCCTTGAAGGATGAGCTTGATCTGGATGAGCGTGCTCAGTTGGTGGATATATCAGACACCGAGTCCGAGGGAGATGACGGCCGTGGCTCCGAGTCTGATGTGGAGTAGGAGCCTTAACGTGGCTTGCACCTTCCTCGAAGCCAATGGTGATTCTTTTTTTTCATTGTATTTACTACTACGAGGCTAATGTTTAATGCTAGTGGGCTAATGCTGCTGCTGCTGATGTTAATATCCAGACCGCGTCTTCCTGCCATCACGGCGTGTAAATGAGCCTGAGTTTCTTCTAGTTGTTCACTGTACTACTACTACTACCCTTTCCCTCAGGCTCTCGAGCCGCTGCTGCTATCTGGTGATACTAGTACTAGTATCATGGACCTACCACTACTAGCCTAGTACTAGCCGCCACACCTCTGACATGTTTTGATAGTTCTTACCATGCTTAGTATTCGCTCTTGCCTGCCACCTTAACTCGCTTTGTACTTGGTTGCCATATGAAAATGGACACTGTTTGTGCTGTTTTGCCTTACTCAATGCTTGAACAGATGCTTTCTCGCCACTTGAACAGATGCTTTTTCACCACTTGAAGGCTAGTACTACTATCACTGGCAGGGAAAATAGTACACGCTGCTTTTAGCTTATCTCACTTTGTGTCCTTAAGGGTGCGCTCAAGTTCAATCAGGACCACTCAGAAAGGGGTAAAGTAGTATAAAGTACATGAAGTGGTGCGCATGCAATAAGTAGCACTAAGTCACCCATGCATTTTTCACTTAATTTTGACTTTTGAAACTTTGGGGCCTGAAAGCGCTTTGAAACAATCTCCCCACTAGTAGTAAGTACCACTTCAAGCTGAGTTGACTGCATACTAGTAGTACCTTTCAAGTTGCTTAGCTATAATAAGCACAGCAATCAGAGCAGCTAAGTCACATTCATCTGAAGACCCTACTTGTGGCAAGTCACAATTTCCTTAATTTTTTTTTGCTGAATCTGACTTAAAATATTTATTAAGTGATGCTAAGTTTATCTAAGGTTCATTAAGATTTTTTTGATTTTCCTGATGTATTGCATTAACTATGCTCATTAGCATGTTCAGTGATGCATCAGATCATGCTAAAGTAGTACACCTAGGCCATAGACCACATGTTCGCATTTTCAACCACCTACTGTGGGAACTTCTCCACAACACCCAAAACATAGCCCATTTTAGGTATTCTCTCAAATATCAACCTTTCCCATACCCTGCCCATCAATCCCTGTCTCACCACTACACCACAATTAGATATAGCCTCTAGTTAAGTAGTAGTATAGGTTATATACACATCATAGAACATAATAAACCGCTTTTTCCCTTTGTTTTTGTACCAATACCTGCTACAGAGCCTCTGTGAGTGTGACCTAATAAAAAACATATCAAAAACTGTTTCGCATTTTTGCCCCTCTGGTATTGTGGTACTCTAGAGTGTTTAGAATATGTTTATAAATGTATATGTACCTATCAGAGCCCTCACTTCACCCCCTAGAGCGTCCTATACCATGTTCTGTGCTGTACTAGCATAAAATAGAAAATAGCTACGAAAATTTTGAGCTTTAGGTATATAGACTTGGAAATATGATCCCCAACATCCCTTCAATAGTATACACAACATATCAGGAGCATAGGTCAACAAGATCAGTCCCTGTGGTGCTATATACTTACCCTCTCCTGGTGGTTCACCCCCTGGGAAAACTTTTCCTGCAGCTCCAGCCCTTCAGGATGGTAGGGGGCCTGTTCCTATTGATATATATATATTGTAAATCACATAGCTGCATGAGAATAGCAACAGAATCTGTCTGTAGAATAGAACATCTCCTCCTGGCTGCACTACTGCATATTTTCGCATTTTTGAGGTTTTTCACCACATTATCATTGCACAAACTATCCAGGCTGTTCATTTTCTACTTCTAGTACATATATTAAGTCTTTCCATGGCAAGGATCAGACAGGAAGATGTCAGAGTATTGATATCAAAGATATATCTCCTATTCTCACTGATTAGGAGTCTCAGACATGTATTGGATGATATGTTATGATCGGACTATCACAATACATGCCATACATACTGGGAAACACAGTCCTTAAGTATTGGAAGGATCCATCAAGACATGAGAGCAGGGGAATCCAGTAGATAAGAAAAAGAGCGTGGCAAACTAAAAAGTCCAAACATCGAAAATAGTGTGTTGCAGTGTACACATTAAGTTAGTAGTAAGACTGTAATGCTGCAACAACACTTTGACACCAAAACACTTCCACATTACTTTCACTCTTAGAATATAGTGTAGTACAGGATATTTGGGTGGTCTACATTCTATTTAGTTCATTTTTAACAAAATCTTCGACATAGATATTAGTATATTCATGTACTAGTAATAAATCTCCAACCAGAGTAAATCTCCAACTTACATTCACTTTGCTTATCACTCACTTATTTATGAATGGATCTTTCTACAAATTCACAGGTGGTATCATGGGTATAGGACAATCATGTAGCAAGTGGCTAATTACACAGAAGTGTCCTCATGAGACCCTAGATTACTTATCAGTGAATCTCCCTGACATACCCCTGATATCAATACTCTGACATCTTTCTGTCTGATCCTTGCCATGGAAAGACTTAATATATGTACTAGAAGTAGAAAATGAACAGCCTGGATAGTTTGTGCAATGATAATGTGGTGAAAAACCTCAAAAATGCGAAAATATGCAGTAGTGCAGCCAGGAGGAGATGTTCTATTCTACAGACAGATTCTGTTGCTATTCTCATGCAGCTATGTGATTTACAATATATATATATCAATAGGAACAGGCCCCCTACCATCCTGAAGGGCTGGAGCTGCAGGAAAAGTTTTCCCAGGGGGTGAACCACCAGGAGAGGGTAAGTATATAGCACCACAGGGACTGATCTTGTTGACCTATGCTCCTGATATGTTGTGTATACTATTGAAGGGATGTTGGGGATCATATTTCCAAGTCTATATACCTAAAGCTCAAAATTTTCGTAGCTATTTTCTATTTTATGCTAGTACAGCACAGAACATGGTATAGGACGCTCTAGGGGGTGAAGTGAGGGCTCTGATAGGTACATATACATTTATAAACATATTCTAAACACTCTAGAGTACCACAATACCAGAGGGGCAAAAATGCGAAACAGTTTTTGATATGTTTTTTATTAGGTCACACTCACAGAGGCTCTGTAGCAGGTATTGGTACAAAAACAAAGGGAAAAAGCGGTTTATTATGTTCTATGATGTGTATATAACCTATACTACTACTTAACTAGAGGCTATATCTAATTGTGGTGTAGTGGTGAGACAGGGATTGATGGGGAGGGTGTGGGAAAGGTTGATATTTGAGAGAATACCTAAAATGGGCTATGTTTTGGGTGTTGTGGAGAAGTTCCCACAGTAGGTGGTTGAAAATGCGAACATGTGACCCTGTGAGTGGCTGTGCTAAGGTAATGCATCACATTCCCAAATGGAGCAAAGGGTGATGCATCAACCACTAGCAGTGTTGTTGCATTAGAAGTCTCTGCTACTTAGCCTGTTCTTGTGCATTAAAATGACATTATAGCCTGGCCAATGAGAGGTTGGAAAGTGAGTATCATAGGGTAGTTCCATGGCCTGTTCAAGCGCGATGTCAGGAAGTGGAATGTAGATAGCATCTTCTGTCTCACGAGATCATCAGCACGGTCCCCCTCGGGGCCTTGTGGAGCCTAGCGTATGTATCATAGATCATCATTAGTCACATTGATGTATTGAATTCGACCATCTGATCACTCACGTTGGCTTCCATGACTTCTGCCAATCAGGCACCTCAGGATATTCAGTCTTGGCCCACTCTGGGAGCTGCTCTGCACTCTTCACAGCTATCTGAATGAGAGCGCCTACTTCAGCCATGAGGACTTCTGTTTTTGGCTTTCCAAGGTCCTTGTGCAGGGCACCGCAAATGAGCTCCTGTTCATTCTGCGCCATGTGTGCAAGCTGGTATAGCTGGTGCTGACGCCATGCTATGGGGCGGGTCAATCCACTACGGAACATCGCTCTAAGAGCATCTCTGATCTTCAATGCTAATGGGATCGAACAAAAAATGCTGAACAAACAGCACTCACATTTGGGATCGTACTGACGGGAGTTGGCATCTCTCAGTGGCCGATCGATCGATCAGTCAAGCTGTTGAGAGATAGTGCGGCATGACTGACTTTGATTTCATTCACACACTGGCAATCATCGATTGGGTAAGCAATGCATCTTCAATTAATCCCCAATCATTTTTGAGATGATCTCCTTGTGTGTTGCCTTGTTTGGCTGATGAACTTTCCAATATCTGATGCTGATTATGTAACATGTTCAAGGTGCAACGGGCCCCATCACTAAAATTCAAATTGCAATATCAACCCATATGTTGACAATATAATGTAGACAATAACTGTAATCCGTCACAATATTGGTCGTGTATATACATATATGGGTATCCTCGTTGTCCAATTTGAAGCATGTTTGCATAGACTTGGCGACACTCACATTAAGCAACAAAAGTGCGGACACCCTCATATATTCAGTGTATTACATTGGTTTAGCACCAAAGCACCATAAGCCAGCTTCCCGCCATCTCTCACAACTTGCTACTCCAAGAGATGTGTGAGTCTTGCCAGTGATAATTGTGCAATCTTCTATTATCAATATTTATCAAGATATGTAGACCAAATGTTTCTCATTTTTCAGTTATGTAAAAGAGAGTCTGGTACTGCACAAGTTTCAAAACTATAGTCTCATGAAGTTTGTGACATAGACTGGACAAAGTCTTCACCAGTCAAATATGGCTGTGTATTTCCCAGCTGAGGCCACCACATGAACATCAGATCATATGTCACCAATTTCCTTTGTACTGCCAGTTGCATATTTTGCACGTCACTCAACAGCATGTAAAATCAAGCTAGAAACTTCTGCAGAGTAAATAGATAAATCATTGTGTAGATATTTGCAGTAGATAGTCTTGTACTGTACTAGTTCAAAAAATATATGTAAGGCTTGGTGTGAGTTTGAAGTGGAATTGGAGTGAAATGAAGTGAGTAAATGACGAGCGCGACAGTGATCTAGACAAGTCAGTAAGGGTATAAGGCAGGGACTTTCTGTGAGGCTTCTTGGTCATTCTTGGAGCGGGGATGTGAATATAGGATTTGCTGCTCGATATGAGAGTACAGTGGCTCAAAAAACTGTCCACATGTTTTCACATTTTTCACTATCTATGATATTGTGTGATAATATACAAAGACCTCAAGGACATGCTGGTACCATATTGTAGTACTACTTCAGGGCTTTCAATTGAGCACTATGCCGTGGGAATTGGTGAAGATAAGGTGGAGATATGAGGCTTACAAAATGATGACTCATGCAGACAGTTTTTTGACTCAAGTATTTTACAGTGATAATCAGGTATTCTAGTACTTTGTGTGACCTCCCTTGGCTTTAATTACTACCTCTATCCTTCTAGGCATACTCTTGAAACTATATCTAACTATATAAACCAGAATGTCTCTTGTGTCATAGTCAGAATCACCATAAAAGCCATCTCCTCTGCTTAAAGAGATAATATCCTCTCCCTGTCCTATTCTGGCCTCTCTGCTCATCAAATTTCCTCTAGAACTGGAGTATGCAAGTATACTGTGACCAATTTTATCAAAGAAAGCCACCTGGACAAGGAAAACTCTTGTGGAGGACATCCATCTCTACTCATAAGAGGGCTATCATCCAACATATCACTACAGGAAAGGCTGATAATGCTGTCCAAGCCACCCATTATATCAATTCCACCATTACCACCACTGTCTCTTCACAAACTGTGAGGAATGTTCTCAAGGTGGCTCATCTCAAGGCAGTAACAAAGCAGACATGCCTATTCTCTCTATTACACATAGGCAGAGAAGACTAGCCTTTGGCTTGGCCCATCAAAACTGGACTATAGAGGACTGGAAGCATGTTATATGGTCAGATGAGACCAAAATCAATAGGATTGGGTCAGATGGGAAGGTATATGTATGGAAAAAGAAGGGTAATTCTCTAACAGACAGAGAGGTTAGTGGGACTGTCACATTTGGAGGAGGTTCTCTAATGGTATGGGGCTGTATGGGATGGAATTTTGTGTGTATGCTTGCTGAAGTTGAGGGGAGGGTAGATGCTAAGCAGTATGTGGACATTCTAAATGACCACTTGCTGCCTAGCATAGCTGAATCAGGGATTGAGGGAGAAGACATCATTTTCCAACAGGATAATCATCCCAAGAATACATTTAGGAGAGCCAGACAATGGTTTTAAGAACATAATATCAATGTTCTTGACTGGCAAGCACAGTCCCCTGATGTCAATGTCATTGAACATCTCTGGGGAACACTCAAGATGAAGCTTCAAGCCTATGAAACCCCCCTAAAGGAGTATGGGAGCTATGGGAGAGAGTAGTAGTGGAATGGGGAAATATTACAGCAGAATATTGCCAGAAATCGATTGAGAGTATGCCTAGAAGGATAGTGGGAGTAATTAAAGCCAGGGGAGGTCACCCAAAGTACTAGAATACCTGATTATCACTGTAAAATACTTGAGTCAAAAAACTGTCTGCATGAGTCATCATTTTGTAAGCCTCATATCTCCACCTTATCTTCACCAATTCCCACGGCATAGTGCTCAATTGAAAGCCCTGAAGTAGTACTACAATATGGTACCCAGCATGTCCTTGAGGTCTTTGTATATTATCACACAATATCATAGATAGTGAAAAATGTGAAAACATGTGGAAAGTTTTTTGAGCCACTGTACATGGGCAGTTTATATACGGTTTCGAGTGTATGACTAGGCCGGAATCGGCATGTAGAGGATATGGTGAAGTGAAAGGGCTCTGTCAAGGAAAGGGATAGTAAGGTGTAAGCAGTAGGTAAAGTACAAGAAAAGATGAAAGGAGATATAGGGGAATGTATCCACGTAACTCGGATGCGAAGAGTAAGGCTCTTCGCATTGGTTGAGTTATGTGGACATGCTATTTGCATATCTATCTGAAGGCTTGGTCGGCATGTAGAGGATGTGGAATCCTTACATCACCTCCCTACTTCGAATATCGACCATCCCTGGTTGATCTTCCAACAATTGAACTAAAAAAATTTGCGTGGTGCATGGTAAGGTATGAAGGCAGAATAGCGAGATAAAATAAAATAAATGAAAGAACACATCTAGTTTTCAATGGCGATGGTGCCGGCAAGGTCTTCGATATTGATGTATTGGGTAACATTGAGAGAAGTCGGGGAACGAGGGTGGTAAGGGATAAGATGAAATGCGGCGAACTTGAGTTTCAAGATGGAGCCGTCGACTTCTGTGAGGCGGTAAGAGCCTCCTGCGGAGCACGAGACTACGATCATTAGGCCAAAATAGCGTGGCTTGCACTTGGTGTTTGATGTGGCTTCAATTTTCTTATTTAGGACAAGAACAAGTGAGCCGGACGGGAAATTATAGTCGTGGATCATGTTGGCAAAATGTTTCTTGAAGTCGTGGGTAGATGTGAAGCGGCTCTTGAGTACTTGAGCGTGAATTTCAGCTAAGTCTTCTTCTCATTTGGCTAATTGGCGAGCACGAATGGCTAATAGGTCTTCAGTAGTGATCTGGGTTGTGATGTCGGGGAGCAGGAAGGTAGCTTCAGTGATATCAAAAGGTAGAAGAGGCTCAGTACCGTGTGTGATAAAGAATGGTGTGTGTCCTGTTGACGATTCCATTTTCAGCAGCTTCATTCAAGTTGACATCCAATGTCATAGAGAAGTCCTACGGTCATCTGAGGGGGTATATGCTTGAACAGCTGGTCCAGGAGAGTGAGCGCATAGTGTTGCTTTTCTCCCGCTGATGTGAGGTTGACAAGCCAGAGGACACAGTCATGTCTGCATGGCAGGGCCATCAGGCCTGTGTTGGTAACAAAACAAGTACTTGCCTTTTCACGCTTTTTGTCTGCAGCAATGAAGGATTCTCCGCATCCATTCAACACAGACACTGGCACACACATCCCTTCTTCATAGCAATCCTCCTCCTCTTCCGCTCTGGAGGCTCGCATTTGATGTCTTTTTCCACAACAACTTTTTACAAAATCCTCCATTGCTTTGACATCGTCGTTTGACAGGAAGAATGTTGGAGTTGGATTAGGAGGGTCGATACTGCTAGCACCGCGAGGATTAGTCGAACACTTTTGAGTAAAGCAGGCATCTATGCAAACAATAATGTCTGGGCTGGTATTGTCAATTAAAAGCGGAATAATACGAGCTGAGACACAAACTTACATAGAACGAGCATCTGCTCCACAGCAAGCATTTCCTCTGAAATAAAGCAGGCAATGAGAACGAAGGTATTCAGATGGCTGATCAATGAGTGGGATATGTGCCTGACCCCTCCGAACGTTGGCAATGACAGTAGAAATGTGATTGTGAGCCAAGATGCTCAGCACTCAGTACCAGTGAAAAGTATTTCTGAAATGACGACACAAGTTATTCTGATGAAAGACTGAGCATCATTGTATGCAAGAGGATTGGAAAGGCTAACCTTGCATGAAAACTTGTACCTCATTCCATCTAGAAAGGTTTCCACTGCATTGCACCATGCGATTTGGTTGGGAGCCTGGTGTACAAAGAGAAGACGGACGAACTCTAAAATGTGCAAGTCAACTGTGAGTGAGGGAGCGAGAGGAGTGCATGGAAACAGACCATGACAAAGGAGTTGGAGGGGTACAGGGAAACAAGGGCATGTGATGATGTTAATTTCTTTCAATGCTGGAGGGTACATGAGATAGATTGTGGAGAAGAGTGACAAATAACATACCGTCAAAGTGCACACATGCAACTGTAATACTCCAAGTCCTACACCCAGCTTGGCAAACTCCAAGATCTTGCTGAGCTTGTCCTGGTGCGTTGGTATAACGTAACACCAAAGTTTATTGGATATAGGATAGATATGGTACAAGGAGTGACAGAATGACATCTTGTGACCATCTGCACCACTGGTTGGCCCTTTTCTGTGAGCTGGTCAGACGACAGCTGATAGGATCATTGGAGAAATGTAGGGAGTTGCTGAAGAGAACCTTATTGGTAATATCTTCTTGTATTACTGATGTCCTGGAGGCAGACAATGGACAGCAGAAGTTTTGCTGCATGAGGCATTTGTGTCTGGGCAAGACCAACACGGGAGGCGGGGCAGGGAGACACAGGTCAAGTTTTCTAGTCTGATGAGGACATCACCATGCCGTGTTCATCCAAGGCTCACAGACAATAGTGATGGGTGGTAGAATTAAAGGGCATTCTTCCTGCACGTGGGAGATCACCTTGGAGGTTGACAATTCACGACGGTGGGGCTTTGGACAACGAAAAGCCATAATGAATGATGTTGACTCGAAGTCAAATGGAAGGCCACCAACAACGCAGAGTCAGTTAGAGAAGTATCCATGGGCTCACAGTCCGGGATGACCTCGATCAAGAGAGCCAATGACCAATACTTAAGCAGGAGAGCCAATGACAAATACTGGGTAAAGAGGGCCAATGACCAATACTTGGCCGAGAGAGCCAATGACCAATACTGGGTCAAGAGGGCCAACAACCAATACTTGAAGTGCAAAGGAGAACAAATCTGAGGGGGATTAGTACTGGGGATATGATTCACTGGCAGACTCCAGGAGTGAATCAGGGTAACGATAACATCAAATTAATGGAAAACACTTACTCAATAACATATCCGCATAGGTCTCATGCCATAAGTATTGTACTGTAGGTATTAGTGAAAACGGAAGCAGAGAAACATACACATCTAATCCCATTTAGCATGAGCAGATAGATAATAGCTTTGGCAAAAATTAATAGAAAATACAGTAGCAGGACGACATGGGTCGCTAGCTATAACTTGGGAGTAGGATGCCTACAAAAACACATCAAATCAGAGTTAACAGCATGAGGCACTCACCTTGTTACTAAATTGAAACTAGGGGACACTGCAATGTATGCTGAGCTTACTAATACAAAGCATAACATCATCTGACAGCGCGTTACGGAGATCAACAAGTAACAGAACATGGTACAATTTGTCATTTATACTAGAAGTGTAGAATGAAAGGGAATAAATGCTTAGTACGAAAATGCTGCAATATGGTATCAATCACAAAGGGATGGAATGGGGAATGATGGGGGGCCTGCCAAAATGACGAAAGAATGTCTGCACATAAAAGGTGGTCACAGTATGCATGACTTCCCAACACTTGGTATCCATGAAGCTATCTGGCATCAGTGGTACAACCAGAAGCAGTGGAGCATCGTCCCAAGCACAGAGAAGTTCACGGAATTTCTCCAGGTAAGGTAGAACACCAACTAAGGTGTTATTCCACATGCCGTAGTTGTCCTCCGGAAATTGCTCTGATCACATGACTAATCCAGCCTCACCGGGGAAGATAGAATGAAGGAGCTGCTCACGACCGATCAGATCATCTGCCCAATGTTTGCAGGCCAGGTAGCAATCAAGATCCCTCAGCTCATAACAGAAACCAAGCTCAAATAACTCCCATGTGATCCTTTGGGTGAGATGCCATGGAGGGTTAGCAAGACTGGCAACCAACACTTGTGGGCCACAAAATTCCACCAATCCTTCTTGTGCGAACAGGTCTCCCTGAGTCTCCAACATGTCATCACCAAACAAGTCTCTCATCACCACCTTGCGCTTCTCCACCGCTGTAGGTCCCTGCTTTTCAGGATTCTTGCCTTTGGGTGCTGCGCCTTGTGATTAGGTTGTCAGTCCACTGCCAAGGAAGTCACACCAGAGCTGTGGTGAAGGGTAATTGCATGGCAGGTCATGATCGACTTGGCCAATCCATAGCGGATGACAGGTGAACCAGGTAGCGATATAACCCTGGAGGTGCTCCGGCAGCTTGGGACCGAGGAGGAGAGTGGGTTCAGGGAATCTGTATCCCTGATCAATGGCATAGGGCATGTGCATGCGAGATGGATCCTTGTTGCAAGTCTTGAGGGCATCATCCCAATGCAAAAGAGAGGGCAGAAGATACAAGCTCTCAGGGTCTTTCCACTTGTCCCTGGATTCCCCTGACTGGGAGGGCTGGGTGGGCCGAGCCTCTTTTGCGTCTGATACAGTAGTAAGTAACACAAAGTAATTATTATGGGTGAACTTACAAGGTTGTCACCTATGCTTTTTGAGACTTTGTTGAGGTGCTCTTCCAGCAGCAGATGTTTGAGAGGATGGCGCAAGAGCAGAAGAACTGGGAGTAGAGAAACTGCTGGATGAAGTGGACAAGGGAACCACGACGTTGGGATTTCTGAAAGTTGTGCTGCTGTACAGGCGACAAATGTGAAGTTGGCACTGGTGGCCACCTTGGCCACGATAAATGATGTCATAAGGGCGGATTCTGTTGCCCTCCACATACATCGAGATGACAATGTCATCTGGATGTGTAATTAACATGGGTTTGTGAACCTTCATATTGTCAGGTATATATGTCATCGTGCAGACATACCAGATGGGCATACCAGCCATGTGGAGCTTGTTGCACATGTCACTTTCATGCGTGAAAGCGCCCATCCATTCTGAATCGACAATAACAGTTGCAATGCCAGAGGAGATGCAAGGTTGGGCAATGAGAACCCAATCCATAAAGGAGTGAATTTCAAGGAAGAGGCGTTGGGCATCTGTGACGAAGAGGAGGAGATCGCAAAAGGTCAGGGGATGTTTTTTGAGTCGCGAGATACCATGTCGAAGAGAGACAACACGATTGACGATGACATCCTTTTTGCCTTGTTGATTGGCCCTCCAGTCCTGTACAGGTTTGTCTACTAATTTGAGGAGTGACTCCAGGCCTTCGACCTTGTCAGAGGCAAATGTGCCCACAGGAAACGAATTGCCTGGGATGGTCTTGAAGTCCTTTTGCTCAGGAGTGTACCACACCCAGTGAAGTGGGTGTGGGAATGGGTAAGCCTCCTTACGAGGAATGCAGATGGAATTGCGAAAGATGTTGTCATAGGCTTGAGGCCATTGAAAGCAGTCGACAACACCAAAACAACCATCGGCACGGGCTTGTATGTTTTCTTCTTCAAAATGGTGGAACTTGGGAACGAATTGCATGTTGGGCGTAGTGATGACTAGATTGTCCTGGATGGCAATGGTGAAGGCATTGTAAGATTGTAACCAAGCTGCAGGACACATGTACATAAGTAAGTAAAAATGCTAAAAGACAAATATCACATACATGCATGAAGTGTTGGGTCACCCTTGAACATCATCAGAGTGTTGGGCATGATGGAAAACTGTGAAGGTTAGAAGATGTGCTGACAGGTACAAGGCAAACACACCTCAGAGTTTGGCATGGTATGGTGAGAGTCTAAGTGCTGGTCAGTATACAATTAGTGAGATAATGAAAAGGACATTTACCAAAACGGAAGACATAGCTAAAGTGACAAGTGCTATAATGTAAGATATGCATTAGGAGACATTGTAGATCAAAGATATTGAAAACTCACTGATTAGACCAACAAGTGAAATGTGAACAATTGGCACACCTGAAATATCAGAGGAAGTCTGCAGCAGCATGTGGCGCACCAGAAATAAGCTGAGTGCGAAGGCAAATCAGGCCCAAGAGGGTCTTCAACCCCACTGGCGCAGTAAAGTATGAGCGACCGGGGCAACCCTCCAGATGTGAAGTCAACTGATCAAATGAGTGAATGGCACAAAGCCAATTCAAAGTGCCAGGAACCATAGTTGTTGGATCAATCATGGTGATGAGCTTGATCTGCTTGACGCGTGATGAGCTGAGTGATGTGAGTGATGAGGGATGTGTGAATGTTGTAGTCTGAGGGCAAAGAAGGAACTTGGAACTGGGGAAAGGGAATGCAGAGAAGGAAATGAGAAACAAGGTGGGAACTTCCCAATTGAGTCGAAAAGTCGAAGTTTGCATACATTTGTGAACTTGTGGGAAAGTCCCACAATGCACAAGTTTCACTCTTTCATCCACATCAACAACACTCCGTCCTTTATACTATCCTCGCTGCCCTCAATCCCGCCTTCCTGCCCTTGATCCATCATCCCCGCCCTCAATAGGTCCAACAACGACAGTTCCTGGCACTTTGAATTGGCTTCATGCTGTTCACTCATTTGATCAGTTGACTTCGTGTTGCTGATCTCCCACTCCTAGACTTCATGTCTGGAGGGTCACCCCGGTCGCTCATACTTTGCGCCAGTGGGGTTGAAGACCCTCTTGGGTGTGCTTTGCCTTTGCCTTTGCCCTTGACTTTTCTGGTGCATCACACATTCCTGCAGACTTTATCTCATTTTGCAGGTGTGCCAATTGATTCACATTTCACTCGTCAACGCAATCTGATTGGTGAGTTTTCAATATATTGCATGTATAATGTCTCCTGACGCACATTGCACTTTACTCACTGTAGCCCTTGTCACTTTACACCACTTTCAGATCTCATCACACACATTTATCTATGCCATCGGTGAGTCACATCTGCACTTCATTCATATAGCGACATTCCATTCACACGTCAACGGAGGATATTGTTTGCTTTCAAACCACCCAGCTACTCAACAATCTGTTAAGTCTTCACTAGTTGGTGAGTGTATTTACTTTATGTTCTTGATACCATATTGTAAAATCCTGATTTATTCTTAGGAAACAAGCACCCTTTGCATCTCTTGATGTTCATCTGCTAGTGGCTGGTGCTCAACAAGGTATATCTTACATGTTCCACTGTACATTTAGCGTCTGACTTATTCTTAAGCAGGCTTGGGTGTACCTCTGACCACTGACTGACCAGCAATTTGTCTTCTCAAAATGTAAGTTCTCAAAACAGTTAGATTTATCCAATCAGTCAGATCCGTCCCACTCATTTTTGTATTAATCAGGGTCAGCTGCCAGAGATGTTCATCTTACATTGGCCAATCTCGCTGTTAGGGTTGTATATCAGTGGGCCTCGACCTCTCCTGTCTTTGATCTATTCCAGATTTGCATTAATATATTAGGAGTGTTGCTCTGTAGGTGCTCACTACCGCTGATCTGTTCACTAACTTTCCTCGGCTGCCAGACACGGGTGTCATTGGCTCATCTCTGAGCCAGCGATGCACTCATTCCATTTAGCTAACTCCTGTCATGTTAAGACTCGCAGCAAGGCAGCAGACATTCATACTGCGTCTGATTGTTAAGGTCGTGCTCAAGGGAAAGACTACTCAAAGGGCTTCGGCTTCAGCTCGTGCACTGTGCCCCTTACCCGAGTACGTGCCCTTAATTTCCGGTGGGCAGAGGGGAAGTCTGACGGAAGTCCAGGGAGTTCCGGAGGACAAACATCGGTGGAGTTTGTCGGAACTCCGGAAGACTATGTGGGGACAGAGTAAGGCTACTATGGAAATCTGGAGTAGAAACAGAGCAGAGGTTAGACTACCCTAATGTAGAGCCGGAGGATTAGTCCTAAGGTTTAACCCCTAAGACTCGGAGGTGGACAAGAGGTGAGACTCAAGTCCGGAGATTGCAGGAATGAGCAGAACTAAGATGATATTTGAACTAAGGAGTTCTGGAGTATTACAGGGGTTTATATACTGTAGGTGTCATGTAAGTAAATCAGTCAGCAATGGTAAGGGCTATGTACAAAGCATGTGGAAAGTCTATCACTAAGTGTAACAGATCAAAGCAGTGAAGTCGGAAATGAAGTAAGAATGGATGGATCAGTGAGCATAGTGGAATAGGACATAACCAGTAACCAGAGCAATAGCCAATCTAAAAGGAGTTAGGGGTGAGTGTGGAGATGAAGGCGGAGCACCGGGCAGAATAGTAGGACAGAGGACCGGACTTTAATGGAGTAGATCTGGAATTCCAGATCTGGAGGTACAGGATATGACACTGATACAGACAACATCCAGGCAAGTTTTTTTTTTTCAAAGTTTGTCAATCATGATTGATTTTCCATTACTTTAGTCCACCCAGCCTCGAAAATGCGCCCACCCTCATCGTCACGCTGGGCCTAAGAGTGTTATGGTTGACAACAACAACAATCCACAAGAGGTAAGCCATGTCTGTGAATATGTTGGTGTCCCCACTGACTTCTTAGTCATCTACAACTTGTTATTGTCCTCCACCCAAGCCTCGTCTGCTTGCATGGTCCAAATGTTCTGGCCCCATGACCTCATGCGCTGAGGAGGAGATTTTCGAGGCCAATTTGCCAAGGCGCTCATCAATGATTCAAAAGACCCCCAATATCGCTACAGATCAACAATCCCCCCCATCTCATGTTCAACTTGCTGATGGCACTTCATTGACATGTGCTGAATTTGACTCCCTTGCAGACGAAGAAATATCCGCCAACACCCAAGATGGCGATGTGGAAACAGGTATAGTTTGTATTGTAGTGTGAATGTCCTGTATTGACTTGTTGCCCACCAGCTCCTGCATTGGTTACTGAAGCACACAGCACTACTGCAAGCAAGGATCCAAATCCTGCCTCTGAAATTCCATCAAATGACCCCAATGGTGGGACTTCAGGTGAGATAGTCATTCTTTCGTGTTTCATAGCTTAACTAATTGTGAATACAGCTACTCCTACTGAGTTGCACAACACAGAGCATGGCAGCAAGCATCATGGCAAGGATACTTCAGGTGAGTCATAGTCATTCATCTATATCAAATACCTCAACTTATTGTGCATACAGCTGCCTGTGCTGAGTCACACAGCACAGAGGATGGCGGAAATAATTCAGCTACTCCTGCTACTGGCTGCCTGCGGAGGTGGGCTGCCGACCAAGAGCAGCGCAAGAAAGCACAATGAGTTGCTGTTGATGCTGCTGTGAACAATGGTGACAACAACAAGGGTTCCCCTGCAAGCAACCCCCTGTCTGCATCACGGTTGATGGCCACACAAAAGCAAAAGTCCAAAGTGATGGCGGACGTCAATGAAAATATTGACAGTGAAGATGAGGACAATGAAGAAGACTTTGTGAAGACCAAAGGGAGAATACCTCAAGCAGGTATCTCGAAGGCGCAGGAGCTTGGGAACAATACATTGGAAACCACCAGAGCACTCGGAAAAGAATATGGGAAGAGTGTGAGGATGATCCTCATCGAAGCTGGGTTGATGATGAAGGCCACCCAGAAGGAGTCTCTGTGGAACCAACATCAGACGTGGTTTGCAGCTACCTGCCCCCTGCCTAAAGGAGTATTGGGAGCTGTGTCTCCAGGTGTGTCGCAGTCTTTGTTATTGATTTCTTAATGCTAACAACTGTTGCAGAGGATTTAAAGGCTTGGAAGGTGAAGCAATGAGCTCATTACAAGGCCCACCCACACGGTGACCCACAGCACGCATCAGTGTGGAAGGAGATCCTGGAGAACTGGGATTGTGCTGTCGTGGGTTCAACCAAGGACCTTACATCATGATCTGCTGCAGGTCTGATGATGGCTGTTCATGATGCTTTCACAAAATCAGTAAGTGTCGTATTCATGCAACTTTGATCCAGAGACTAACCACAATCAAGGCTGCATACTGGCATCGCACCCATGGCATTCACATTGCCGGTGTTGCAATATTCCCCGGTGACAAAGAGGCAGGCCACCAAGCATCAGGACTGTTCGCCGGGACATGGCAATCCTTAAGTGCATCTTATATTAATTATAGGTGTTAGTGCTAAATTACTTCCAGGTACAAAGACCTGGAGGCTGCACATGCCAAAGGCAAGACTTTCAGTTTGCTCCCCCCTTCTTCCACCACTCCGAATGGTACCCTCTTGTGCAACGGCAAGCCAGCCAGGGATAGGAACAGAAAGGTGGCGCCCATGATGATCAGTGAGAAATTTGGTACATTTTTTAATTGCAGTGTATTTCTACTCTACTAACTATATGTTGTGTAGCTGAGGCCAGCCACCCGCTCAAAACCTCGAACAGTAGGTGGTTGACCATGTTAGACATCCTCTATGCCGAGAAGCTTTGCATACATGACTGGCCTGCCGGTGTTCCCCTGCCTGGACCCAATTTTGATTTCAAGGCTCTATCTGCAAGTCAACTACATGCATTGGTTGCTCCATATCTCAGGATTCATCTTGGAGCCATGTACGAGGCTGAGTTAGGCCTTGACGACGACAACGATGACAGCGAGGCAGAGGCAGCGAAGGTGAAGAAGCACAAAGGCAAGTCCAAGAAGTCAGGTGACAAGGGAAGGAAGGAGGGGCCGATTGCAGAGGAGCCAAGTGTAGTATTGCATATCAGCAGATGGCCTGAAAGTACGTATTGCACACTGCAAATCCCACATAAGCTGATATCACAACCACAGGTGATATTCTTGCTCTTGAGACACAGGCCACAAATGTGTGTCTCATCCTGCTCATCATTGACACTGACAGCAGGGTCATTCGCTCCCTCCAAGACTCAGAGAAGTTCATCAAGGACCTTCCACAAGACGACACTCCTAGACGCCACACCAATGAGGTAATCAAAAAATCCACAATGTCTAATCCAGCAGCTTCGCGCTTAACTATGGGAGCTTTGCGCCCCAATCAGGAAGCTTCGTGCTCCAACCAGACAGCTTCGCACTTCAACAATGCAGCTCCGAGCTCCAACTGTGAAGCTTTGTGCTCTCATCAATATACTAACCGAGCTATCTATGAGGATCTCCTGCCTTCATCACCACCCCAGGAAACCCCACACTCGCATCACCAAGTCTTTGACGACCTCCCACCTTTGTCACTGTCAACACCATCTTTGCAATTCTTGTCTCCCCCTCCTATTTCACGCTCGTCAACTTCTGTGCCTACCTCAGATTATTTGCATGTCCAGTCCTGCTCTCGATACAAGCTGTCCCACAATGGAGCACTTTGACATCAACATGCATACAACAATGTTATGTCAACGTACAATCCAGATATTCGGAAATGGACTTGGCCCCATTATGAATCTGCTCAGGAGACTGAAGACTTGGAGCGTGAAACAGTAGAGGAGAGGTGCCATGCCAGGGTGCTTGACAAGTATGTTATTATGCCCTAACTTCTATGTATGTTTGCTAACTGTCATATTATTGTATCAGTTCCCGTATACATTCAGGCCGAGCCCAACTGCAAATTGTCAGCACCTCCCATACTCATTTGCCATCACGTCCCTCTGTTGCGCCGACCTCCCATGCCGGTTCCTTGCAGTGCCGCCATTATCCAACTGTCAGATCTCTGTATTTGCCCAGCATCTCCCAATCGCCCTTCAATCATCAAGGAAGATGAGTATTACTAAGTTTGTAGCCCTTGTTGCTGCCCACTTCTGGTAACATCTTCTGGTAATGTCTACTAATTATGCTTATTCCTTTGGTATGTTTTTCATATGCTTTTCGTATGTTTCCTTATGTTTTTCTTATGCGTTCACATGTCTGTCTCATCACATATGCTTCAAGTTACTTATGGTACATGAGGCCTTATCTTATGTTTGAAAAGCGTGTGTTACTGTAATTACATGCTGAATCAGACGAGTTCTCCACAATAAGCACCATGTAATACACTTATAATCACACTGCATATAACATCTTATGTCACAACATGTCACATGGGCTGATTTCATACTCAATTCAGCAAGTAATGAATATTGGAACAAGCAAGCATAGTATTGACTGGTAGATATACCTAAGGACAATGTGACAATGATTAGTGCCATAGTTGTATACAGAGACCATGTGCAGACCAGCCCCATCTCCTGTCTCCCGTCCTTCCCAAAATTGATTATGGGGCTATCCCATCCACCATGGTCTTACCCTTATTTGATTACGGGCTTGTCCCATCCTCCATGGTCCTTCCCATAATTGATTATGGGCCTATCCCATCCTCCGTGGTCCTTCCCATAATTGATTATGGGCCTATCCCATCCTCCGTGGTCCTTCCCATAATTGATTATGGGCCTATCCCATCCTCCGTGGTCCTTCCCATAATTGATTATGGGCCTGTCCCATCCACTGTGGCCCTTCCCTTATTTGATTACATCACCTAGTGCCAAGTCATAACTTTCATGTAGTCAATCAGCTTGCATCACTCATTAATATCAGAATGGAGGTTGTGTGTCGCGAACAACAATTATATATTGTTGTGTACACAGTTCTCAAGTACTACAAATAATGTCCTTGTGTGGCCCTCTTGCTCAAAGTCTCTGTCCCTCTCACTCAAAGCCTCTAACAGAGTTTGGCGTTAGTTAGAAGCATTCTCGATGTTCTGCACGCTTAAGAAAGTGGCAAACTGACAGGATGGTGGTGGGGCAGCATCGGTGGCTTAAAAATTGATATCTGAATAGTGCAATCCCCAAGTGATGACTCTGTAGGTGTAGGCAAGTAGCTGAGACCAGGCATTAGTGGACAAATGGTTGATATCTGAATGGTGTGATCCCCAAGTGATGATTCTGTAGGTGTAGGCGAGCAGTAGACATATCAGTGTGAGGTAAATGTGTGATCATTTTCAGAGGGGAGAGATCCTGGGCTGAGGGGGGAGGCATGAATGAATGATCATTTTGTGATTTTCTAATCCTATTTTATAGACATATCTAATAGTCATTACAGTCGTTATGTGACCCATTGGCTTGCATAATAGGTGCCAAGAACGCACCCAAAATTTTCATTTTTTGGCACAGAAAATTGGGTGGTAAGAGGACCCCTAACACCCCTCCACCATGGGAAAATACCATGTATGTATGGTCCAATGTTGGCTGGTGGTCTTTCCCACACAAAAATTATTTTGATCAATGGACCATGCCCAACATATTTTATTTTGGACCCTATGTACTTAGACCAGCAAACATTGACCAGTCCATCTGAAAAGCACCCCCTAGGTGAAAACCCTTATAGGTATAATATAACCTAAGAGGTATCTGAAATGGGGTGACCAAAGTGGGTAAAGTCAGTGAATAACAGTGGGGCCTCTAATATGTCAGGAACTCAACAAATCATTGTGTTTTCTCATTTCCAAGCTTTCTTAGGATTTTTATTTGCATCATGATTGGCTGTGGCTTACAATGGTCCGACATCTCATGTGATCATGCAGTGCACAACAAACAAACCAAAGTCTTGGTCTGCCCTCTTCCACAGCTTCTATGATGAGATGGGCCACCAGGTGATTATCATCGCAGATGCTGATGTGAGAGGGATGGGCGCTGGATGGGAAGTTGGGATGGTTCATGATGTCTGGTTGGCCCTGCTCTATGACATAGGTGCGTGTTTATATGTTGTTGAAATGTTGTACCTGGAGTTGCAGGCATAGGCAGGGCCTGGCAGGCATGCAGTACTACACGCCATTGTCTCACTATGCTTCCTGTAATCTCCCATTGTCTCAGCGCTCGCTACCTAGTACCTCTGATGTTTTCCACCTTTGAAACGACACCACTCCCATTTGGCAGGCTCTCACAGCAAGCACAGCCAAAAGTGTCATGAAACATTCACAGCGGTACTCAAACAGGGCCATGTAGTTCCTGCAGCAGCTCTTGCCCATCCATAGGTCAAGTGCTACTTAATTTTTGAAGCTGCTTTGATTCATACCCTCTCATTAGTGCTTTGTTTAGAACTGTGTAAGGCTCGCATACACGTGCGACGAGATGGGAAGAAGCAGTCGACTTTCTGAAGGAGGGACAATAGCGGGTCATCAATTTATTGGACAGGCAGGCAAATTGGTGGTAGAGTCGGTGACAGTGCCATGACTCAATGATCTGACACTCCCATTCGCTCCATGTCTGATTCTCACACTGACAGAAGTCCCTCAATTGTACATGTTCCAGCACATATTTTTGATATTTGTAGCTTTTATTTACACTCTATCTTTGTAACACTGTGCATATCAACCAATGAAGTTGTTCTTTTAACCATCCTCTTCATAGAATAAAAAGTCCGCAACAAAATGCCCCAAAAACAAGTGAGAATGATATGCTTGCTGTCATGCACAGTGAGCAGGAGGGGTGGGATTGCCACCATGGCGCTGTGGGTACAACAAGTGCAGTGGAGAGAAATTGATCTACTACAAAGTTGGGTCTTTGCTGCCTACTGCCTCACTTGAGAACAAGCACGTTCGACCCTAAAGGGGATTGCTACTGGGGAGTGCTAATCTCTGTCTAAGCGACCCTATTCAACCCTACTGCAGGTAGGATGAGGATCTGCAAAAATGCAGAACAAGCAGAACTAGCAGAACTCAAGTGGAACCCAAGCAGAATGGAATGGAATGAAGCAGAACTCAACTGGATACAATGCGGAACATAAGGAGTCGTCGGAACGTGCAGGTCAAGTTGAAGGAAGTATATCACAAGGTTAGATTGATAGTGGGCATAAGTCAAAGTGGTCCTCTAGTAAGGTGAAGGAAAAGTGGGAAGGTAAAAGATGGGATTCAATAATAAACACCCAAGCCCTGAGTACCACTACTTAAAGGGAAGATTATTTTCAAGGAACACTGAGGTACAGGTAGTAAACTTCTCAGGAAGCGGAAGTGAAGTCAGGCAGTGCACATGGGTGCAATACTCCAGAATAGGGGTCTGTGCCATAAGGGCATGTGTCAATGTGATCCAGATAATGTTAGGAACAACAGGAAGAGAGATACAGCGTACCAATGGACCTAGAAGGATGGGGACAGGACATGCAAAGGTCGTCCGACGATGCATGGGAATATCAGATAGTGCGGGCGGGTTCTGAAGGATGCGTGGGAATGCGGAACCCATTGGACAATGCGCGAGAAACGCGGAACAATGCAGAAAGGATGGGGTTTTATGCCTACAGTGGGGGAATTCCCCACAGCATGCCGCCACGTACGAATCCAAACCACCGTATGTACAAATTATATCATGCATGGCCATGACTGATATATGCACCAATCACCATACATGACTGTGGTCATCATGCATGACCTACTTAAGGCAGGTACTCATATAATACAGCAATATTATATGTACATCATGCATGAATTACATACTAGGATAGCAGTAGAACATGCATGAGGTCTGAACAGTAATATCATGCATAACTACCACAGCATCAGGTGACTCTGCATTGGTTGTGTCTCTATTGAATACACCAACAATCTGTGCGCCATGTGAACTTTCTATTGTTTTGTCCAGTCCCCCATGGCTCTCCTGCACCCCATCAATATTGTATTTTTTACTTGTTCTGCTACCTTTGTCGTTCTTTGTTTATTGCCCTACATAGGCACTGCACCACATGGAACACTTCACACGCACTGCTCACATTGCATTTTAATACGTACATACGCTATATGAACATCGCTTAGGCTCGTGTCGACTGCCTCATTCACGTTTGTACTGTAGAACGGGAACCTGATCACTCTTCAATTCTGACAAGCGTGCGCAGACACCACTTGCCACAGCGGAATGACAATGCCCAAGCCATCGCAAAATATTGTGATCTGAACAGTTGCAATTCTGGCCTGAGATTTCCTTATTTTTGCAACAATGTCACACTTCATTGTTAAAATTTACTCGCATACTTGATGCCAGATCACCTCCCAAAGCACTTAGAACAACAAGGCCCACATCCCAGAATCATTACAGTGTGGATATGGTTCCATATGCTTCACGCCAACAGATCAAGACGCAACCACTGCAAGTGATTGGTTCGACCCCACATTTGTTGAATCAATGTTATGATTGACAAAGTAAGTTTTTCAAGGGTCAGTGCTTGTGTGATCCTACTCGAGATGAAGAATTATGTCATTGCAGAGCCAGGACCTTCGTCGCCACCACATATTCACAAGCAGACGAGGATAGTCAGACAAGCGCACAACATCAGGAAAATGTGGTAAGGCTATATAGCCACCCATAGCGCTATAGACTGCTATACAGACTCCATAGCCCTATAGCTCGTATAGCCAAGTGCCCAATTGTGCAGGCTTACTACACCAGTGTATAGTGCTATATAGCTCTATTAAAGTTGCTATAGCTGGGTGGAACATACCACAACTATTGTAGCTATTATAGCTCAAAACACAAAGCAAAAATTTCTCTTAATAGTTGTTTGTTGCCATGATAGTGTTCTCAAAATTAAAAAAAAAGCGAAAATTCCAAATTATATTTCAACTACTACAATACATGTAAACTAATAACTACAAAACAGGCAAAAATGCGAAAATTACAGGAGGAAGAGGCAAGAGAACTAGAAGGAAGAATCAGACAGGAAAGATGAATACAAAAAAAAGAAAGACTTACCAAATAGTGAAAATTGCGAAAATTCTTGAGGGAAGAGGAGGGAAGGGAGCTAGAAGGAGAGGATCAGACAGGAGGAAGTGAGAGTCAGAGAAAAGACTTGCCAAATGGTCAAAAATGCGAAAATAGTTGGGGGGAGGAGGAGCAGGAGGGAAGAGAGCTAGAAGGAGAGGGTTAGAAAAAAGATTAGTCAAATAGTCAAAAATGCGAAAATTATGGAGGGGGACTTACCAGAGTTCAAAGCACCAGCACCAGTACCAGCACCAACAACATCAACACCAAGAGAAGGATAGAGAAGCAAGAAGAAGAGAAGAGAGGCAAAAACTCGAAAATTGTAAGAAAAATATGGAAGATAATCTAATGAGGGGGCAGTGGGGGGGGAAGGAAAGAATGGGAAAAGACTTGTTGGTTGACCGCATTTTTGCTTACATAAGCAGTGCCAAACAAAGCCACAACACAAGACTTGGTGAATTTTCGAGTTTTTGGTTAATAGGACTAGGATTATGACAGTAAGAAAAAGACAATGAAATTGACTGTTAGCATTAGGATTTTGAATACACATAAGGTGAATTTTCGCATTTTTGCTTACATAAATAAGGTGTACCTTAACACTTTTGAACCCTTCAATTCCAAGTATTTTCCTTATAACTCACTAAGATCTTGACCTATTGAAGTCATTAGACTATGGATAGACTTCCCTTGACAAGGACTACAACTTTGATTTAAGCGAAAAAAGTTCCCATGGACAAGTTGCTTTCTTGAACCCTTCAATTTCGAGTATTTTCCTTCTAACTCACTAGGATCTTAACCTATTGAAGTCATAAGACTATGGATAGACTTCCCTAGACAAGGACTACAACTTTGGTTTTCATCGAAAAAAGTTCCCACGGTCTACTGGGGTCTATAGTTGTTGAAATGTTTTACTGCTAAATACACTTACCAAACTTTATGGTAATATATAGACTTTCATGATGTCTATACTGGTCTATAGTGCTGTGATAGCTTGCCATAGACTGTATAGAGCTGTGGTGTGCTATCGGGGCTATATAGAGGATGGTCCTCTATATAGAGATATAGTTTTTCCTGATGAAACACAGCCCCTCCCCTGCATGTCATGCAACACCGCATGAAAGAAGGTTCATCATGGGCAATCAAGAAATCTCATACAATTCTACCTGCTGACCAAGTTCAATATCTGACAGACCATACAATAATGAGGCTGTCTCGGACCTCGAATGGATGCAACTTCAAGGTAAAGTGCCACTTGAGTGTTCATAAGAAGGCCCACTGATGACCTTATGATCGCAGGCTTTAGCCAGCATTGATGCAGCAGAGGGCTTACTATCTCAAGCCATCAAGGAGAAGGGCATCTCACAGTTCGCAGATCCTTGAGGCCACATTCAGCCCTCTGAAGAAATATTTGGCCCACCCTTACGTACTCTTATCCCCTCAAGATGTGACGGAGCTTGTGCTTGGGCGGAAGCTGCAGAGCCTTGGGGTTCAAGTGTAGCACCCACACAGGGTTGTTGGTATGAAACAGAACGAGGAGGATTGTTGTGTCACTGACGTCTCATTCAAGGATGGCCAAATAGTCAGAGCCAGGTATATTATCGGTGCAGATGGCACCCACTCAACCGTGAGGCCTCAGCTCCTGCTAGCTTAGCTTTGTGGAATGTCTGACAACCATCTCCAGATCCGTACCATCACCGGCATAGGGTTCTCTGACCCAGAAGGCCCCAACTTAGGCAATCACATACTGACTCAAATGGTCGGTGCAGATGTTACGTTCGAGCCCGAACCTGTCAGTCCATTAACCATTGAGGGCCATATTAATAGCATGATTTCCTCAGACAGTTTCCTGATGCTCACACCATTCGGCAATCGCTTTAATTCCGTGCTGACGCGCAATGGAAAACCCGTTACAAAATTCATCTTCTGTATAATTTCTGCCATACCAGTGAAGAATGGAGACCCACCCCATGCACCACCGAAGGAGTACATCTAGAAATTGATCAACATGTACGGCCCAGCGTATATAACATTGAATTTGTCCCTCAACCCAACACCTGTCAAGGTTGACCAGCTGGTCTGGTCGACATGTTTCAGAACCCATTCAGCTGTCGCTGACCACACGTTCACACTTCTTGGTGCTGCTATTTTCCTAGTCAGTGATGCAGCCCACATACATTCGCCTGCAGGGGTCCAGGGCATGAACCTGGCCATCAGGGATGTGATCTTCTTTACAGAAGCCATCACAAAGCACATTCAAACGCTTGCAGGAGATTCCGATGTGGATGATACCATTTTGCAGGAATGTGCGTCATGGGCGAGTGCTGGAAACCATCAGCTTCACCAGGAAGCTTTGGGAGCTTGTAAGCCTTACGCACAATGTGTATGTGTGGTGGATGCCGTTCAGTCCGGCCTCTATCCACGATCTGATGTTGAGGATATTGGGCAGATTTGATTTTGTGTGATCAAGTGTTGCATGGAGCTTGTGTGGGCTTGGAAGACGATAATCGTGTATTTTTAGGTAGTTTGGTTGACCGTGATTCATTTCTACTCTGCATCCTATACACATCAGGAAATCACGCATTCACTTTTTCAGCTTTTTTTGTACTTATTGACAAGACCCATTGCTCATCATTACTTTTCTCACTTATTTTCCAAACATCATAAGTTGACGGATTCCCAAATAAGTTTGTGCCATTAAATAAGTAAAAAGGGTGAAATAAGCGAAAAGGCTGGAAAGAGTAAAATGTTAGAAATAAGTTAGCGATAAGTTAAAAGCACTAAGAAGCTATTTCGAAGGCGTGATGATCAGTGTATCTGTTGACATAGAAGAGTGTAAATACATCAAGGACGTGGTGAGATTTAATCGTTGAGGGGAGTGGTTCAGTACCATAGACAGGAATAAGGTGAGCAGAACAAAAAATGGAGTCAATGTGGATCACTGCAAAGTGCCTACAATTACCGATAGAAGATGGCTTCACCATCCACATTCCAGTCTCATCATCCGGTGCATTGCCAATTCAGTTGAACCAACGGACAACAGCACATGGATAATATCTGCCCCTCAGCCGAAAAGAAAAAAATGTCAGTACCTGAGCAATGTCCATGCCCCGCATACCCTGAGCATCTGGGTCTGTAATCACAAACACACAGTCTTTGCGTGCATACCCGCTTCTCCATTTTGGGGATGCATGAATGTGTTCCCATTTCATCCCCCCAATTCCGCTCAAATCACTAGGTGTGAAGAACGTCGATACCACAGAGTTGAAAATTCGGATCCTTCCTTCATAATGAAGGCACTCCATAAATGGGGCTTCTGCAGCATCGTTATCGGGATAAAGCTGCTCAACAAGGAATTGTTGAACGAGATCTGTCATGTTTGGGATGTTGAGCTCGTCAGCTAGGGTGGGAACACTTTGTGAGCGCTTTTTTCCTTCTATTTGTATTAACACTTAGTATATTAAAATCACGCAAATGAAAAAAAAAAAAACAACTTACGAGATCTTCGAGCAAGTTGTACATGTGCAAGGACTGAAGTTGGCTCATCAATGTCCTCAGAGTCGGCGCTGACATCTGCGTCGAGTATACTGGCTGACTCTATCAGGCTAGGTGGCTCATATTGGTCCACAGCATGCTCTGCACTGGCGGGTGCAACAGGCTGTTCATCCATTGGTTCTAGTAATGTGATTTAATAGTGAAGAAGGTATTAGAAATGAAATTCATACCAAGTGTTGCGAGAACGGCCGACAAACATGTACCTGAGAGCATTCTGCGACTGCGGAAATCTATGCGCAATGCTGCCAACTTGTCCAGCCGCTGGTTGATTTGCAGCATCTGACCCAGTGCTTCATATCGGCTGGACCGCCTCCAAGGCTCCTTGACGGCCTTAATATGCTTTGACTCAGTGATTGAGGAGCACAGGCCATTTGGAGCACCAAACAATCGAATAAGGTGGGCCTAATGAGTCATTGAGTGTTGTCGAGGAAGCGAGAAAGTTAAAACTACACCTGTAGTCTTGAAAATCTCACAATATCTGTGAAAACGAGTGAGTGCATCTTGAATTTCATTGAGCGATGTCTCCGTGATTATGTTGCGGCGGATGAGATAACAGAATTCGAGAAATGCATGGAACGTGCACACAACATCTGTAGGGACATAGCCTTTGATTGCTGGCATATATACCTTGAGAGAGTTAGCACTACATTATCCCAACTTCTGAGTAGAATTGTATGTAAAATCACCTTCATGAGGGCCTTCAAATCATCACCTGTCCACTGTTTGAAGTGGCAGCCTTGGGGAAATCTACACTGTCCCGGAAATGAAGGATCAGTTGCAATCCTAGTAGTAGTGGTGGTGTAAAAAAACTAAGACCAATTAATCAAAATACTGGTCGAGTAAACACACCTTTGGTCAATATCATCTAGAATTATGTTAGCTTGCGACTTTCTGTGTGTTCGGTGGATGTATTTTTCAACCCAATCAACCAAATGATCTTTATATGCCCCCTTGATAATTTGATGGAGAATATCCGGTGCGAGCAGCTCGTGGATATCAGCGCAGGGGAAATCGTTCATAAATGGCTGAATATATGAGTTAAATCTAAGTACAAACAGGAGCGAGCAACATTGGTACCACGAGCTCCCCAACTATGCCATGTTTGTCCCACAGTGTTGCATGGTCACACTCCTCAATAAGTGCATCTGTGTGAAGTCTTGAGCGGCAGAGATTAATTTCATCAAGGTTGCCGTGACGCAAAAGACATCTGACATGGCATAAGAACAAATAGTATAGTAATGTGTCATTTGAAAGACTTACTTAGCACACCAGTTTCGCACTATACAGGCGAGCAATACTTGTTCTTCGTAATCTGTGATGTAAGGTCCAAGTCCATACATTACACGACGATAGTGCCCATCACCAAAATGCATGACCTCGGGCTTGATCATGCCAGGTTTTAAGTTCTTGAGGATAAATGAGAGCGAGGAATGAAAAATTTGACGCTGGAAATTGCGGAAGCTTGCTGTTTCGGCATGCTGTTTGGTAGCTTTGCAAGATGTGAGGACAATAATACATGAAACAAGCGACCGCTTACTTTTAGGCATTGCAAGAAACCCTATGACAACAACTGCATTACGGTGAGCATGTCGGACATTATTCTGAACATTTCCGATAGACACGTAGAGAGGATAGTAGTCATTTTGCCCCGTTGCAACCGAAACAGTTGTTTTGTCACTTCCAAGAATGATGGGCACAAATGTTGAGCCATGAGTCTCAGCATCCTCAGCAATCTTGTCCTGCAGACGCCCTTGTCAAACCAGAGGAGAACAAAGGTAAAGAAAGGCATACTGCTTGAGACCAAGCCCAATCTCTGGACATGAAGTCCTGCCACTGGTGCTCGTCATTCTCTGTTGCAAACTCATGGTATGGCTGGAGATCAATCTCAGTAGCATAGTCTGGGTTGGACAGCATATTTTGAACAACGTCGCAGGGATCATGAAACCAAACATCATGGCTATCTGTCATCCAGGGCGCAGCACCCTCGTCTGGAATCGCACCTGTAAACTTGACTGAAAATGATTGCCATTTAACCTCGCCAAGAGGAGTGTTGTCAATTGTCTTGTACACGTCACAGTAATCTGCAAATGGAGGTGCCTTGCAACCAGCTTGGATTAAAGAAGCTGCCCAGATGTTCAGCAATTGATTGATTGAATGTGCCAGGGTCTGGTTCTTCGTAAATAAGTAGTTGGCAAGTTCAAACTTGACATGGCTCCCATAGGGACTCCAGTCATCCGGTGCCTTGTCTGAGAGAGGTTGAGGTGGAGTACCTGGTGCAAGGAAGTTGCCCTCATCATCACAGGCGAGCTTTTGGAGTCATACTGATGAATTAGCTGCAGAATGTAGAACCATAAAGCATGACAAAATACTCACCAGACAAGAAGGGATGGTAATTTCTATACAACTGGCTGCCAGTGCCAACAAATTCAGCTGCTGGTTGCAGAGGATCTTCATTGTCACCGAAATCCATGGCATCACCAGAATCTAGTACAATATTGGGGGGGGGGGGGGGGGGGGGCACAGGGCCGGGTGAATGGGCATGAGGCTGAATTGATGCGGATGGCTTTGAAAACATGGGGTGCACTGCATTCATATGCTGTGTATGCCCCGACCGATTCTTAAACCAACGGTTGCACCCCGACTTGGTGCAAGGAATGCAAAGAGTGCTGAAGTCATGATGCATCATGATGTGTGAATTAATGGTATTTGGAGTCAGTGGTGCAAACGAATTGAAGAACCGCATGGATGGAGCTGGTTGGAAGAAAGGTCAATATCAGCTCCCAGCAGTCTGCCGCCAGCTTACCGATGCTTGAATTTATGGTATTCGGAGTCAGTGGTGCAAACAATTCGAAGAACCGCGTGGATGGAGCTGGTTGGAAGAAAGGTCAATGTCAGCTCCCAGCAGTCTGCCATCAGCTTACCGATGCTTGAATTTATGGTATTCGGAGTTGGGGGTGCAAACAATTTGAAGAATCGCTAGTATCAGGTCTGGTGAAAGAAGGCCCAATGTATGCAGAGAGAGCAGGCAGACTTGGAAAGTTGTGTGAATCAATATGAGGTACTAAGGGTTGTTTGTTTGAGTTTAGGAAATTTTGAAGTTTGTATTTCGACTCTTACCATTTATCAGGTCCTGTCCTCGACATATTTCTCCTGCCATTGCCTGCCTTTCATATCTGCCATGGCAACTCCCATCTCTCCTCGACGTACATGTGCCAAAAATGTGTCACAGCACCCTGGGCAAGTTGTTTTAGAAGGTCAAAGGAAGCGACGCACCCAGGCCCAGATCAAAGAAGACAAGCACCATGCCAGAGAAGGACAGGCAGTCCAGGAAGCTGCTGTGCGACGTGGAATCAGCTGAATTGCTGGTATCGAGGCTGCCATGGAGGTTGAGTAGGCCACTCAAGCGACTGGGAAGACAAAGCCAGTAAAGCCTCATCCTAAGGTGGTCAAGAAGAAGCCAACAGCAAAAGGTGCAGCCACCTCAGAGAGTTTCCAGGTGCCTCCAGTACAGGCGATGGTTCAAGGTGCAGATGATCGCACCATGCTGAGGAGGAGGTGTGCTGATGGTGCAGACATAGGAAATTGTGGCAATGGCGATGTGATAGGGAATTTGGATGCCGCAAAGCCGAAGAAGAATTTGAAGAAGGTCAACAACATGTTGCGTGAGGCAATCAACGCTGCAAAGAGGCAGATTGTTGATGGAGACCTGCACAAAGGCAAGGCACAGGCTGCCAGTGACAAGAAAGGAAATCCTATCGTGTCAGTGGTTCGTTCTCACCATCATGAAGCTGATGCTCACCAAATCAACCCTCTACTTCATGACCCGTACTTGGGCGCTCAGCAATAAAAAATTCAATTTATTGGGAGAGGTTAAGGACTGGCACAATCATGTAGAGCCTGGGACAAACACCAAAAACTACCCAGTTGCTAGTGACGTTCAATCTGTTTCAGCCGAAAATGTTTTGAAGTTGGCAACTAGTACTTTCTTATCGAGTCAGACGGCGGCAACCACTGTCTCACTAGCCAAGGACCCTCCCCCTACTTTGTACGATCTTTCAGAGGCTTCTGCATCAGATGAGGATGATGAGTTTGAAGAATACCTGTCCGCCCCCGCAGGTAGTGGCAAAGTGAAGGCAGTAATGCAGGTAAGTCACTGGCAATGCTTGATGTACCACACTTACTGTAATGTTTTGTGTTAGAGTGTTGTAGGGATTGTAGAACCATACTCAGATGAGGAAGTGCCAGTGTCCATTCCATTCAACTTATTACCATTCTCTCAACAAGCTGAAATTGTGACATATGCTTTAGAGCAGTCTACTCGCACCATCAGTGTCACAAAGTGGACAATCAAAGAAATCGACAAGGAATATGACATGGACTCGGACGCTGATTTAATGATACTTGACAGCGAGGATGTTGAAGTTATCTCTCCCAACTCAGAGGTCGAGGAGGTTCCCAAGCCCATGCACACCACTACAAAGGTAAGTATTCATTTTTGAGAATGATTCTATCATGAGACTGATGCACCACCAGACCAGTGTAACGGTTTCCGAGAACCCAAACCCACCCAAGAAAGCAAAAGTGGAATCAATGAGTTCCCCTAGTATTCTGGTATCGCCCAAGCCCAATTTGATGTCTGCTGACACAGCAATAAAGCCAAAACCTGGATACCAATGGCGAAACACTGATCTCCCACCAATCATGTTGGAGAACAGCACGTGGCACAGGAATTTTATCCCGACTGTTTTTCTTTGGGCAGGCCCTCAGCCGAACTTCTGGACAATTGAGACTGAGCATTTACTCCCAGCACTCCAGGCTATTTTTGAGGTTGCATATCCAGGAGTAATGCATAATGTTCAACCGAAAGGCCCTATCATAGGCTTGGTGAGTCCCACTGTTGTTTTCCATGTGCGAATTATTTTTCAACTGCAACCAAAGGTGAATCAACGTTTATACTCCTGGCGCAGCAATTTTGGGTCCACAGGGATCGCCCTCGTTGCGAATTTTTTGGCATCCTCAACATATTGACAAGAGCGAAGAGGATGACGACTTCGACTTTGAACAGGCGCTGGTGGCAAATCTTCTCGAGCAGTATGCCTTCCTCTACGAGAATCCAGACACTTGCGACCCCGACGAGATCTACCGGTCCGCATTCATGTTAGAAATGATTGAGACAGCTCATCTCAATGCAACTGCTGGATCCCTCAATGTACCAGCACTCAACACCCATGATCTGCAATCAAAGGGTATGGAGACTATAATTGCCGCATGCGCTGCCACAGTAGGTTCCATCAACAGATTTTAAATTTTGAGTTTGATTAATGGTAGTATTTTCATAGCTCAAACATGCTTTCTCCTTCATTGGAAAACCAAAAGAGGATGAGGACGCCCAAACCACCACTAGCAGCACGAAGGGCGGTAGTATGACTCGCAAGCTCAATAAAGCCACCGGCAAAGAGAGCACTGCGGCAAAGGCCTTTTCTGAGATTAACTGTGGGGCCACAATGGCTGAATACTATGAATCCATTATGAGACATGGACCGCAGTACACAGTGGATACGATTGACTTGGTGCACTGGCACCAGGAGGCAGCTCAAGTCAAAAATGCTCCCATTGAGACCATGAAACCCAGGGATGGATGTGCACTGCTCTGTAGGTTTTTTTGCTCGTTGTAGTCTTGTGTTTTACCACCAGTCCCTGTAGCTATGATGCATCAAGCCTGCTAACTACAAGTCACAGGTGATGCATTAGAGCATGCTAAGTAGCAGACCTAGTTGGTCATGTGATGACCGCAATTTTGGCTTCCAAAAGCGGAAATTCACTCATTTTGGTCACCCCCTCATGTCAGGCCTCCCCACATTATTCCCACACACCATACCTCCGCATTTTTCAGCCACATGGTGTGGGAATTACCCCACAACACCTCAAACATCACCCATTTTGGTATACCCCACAATTATAATTATTCTCACACCCTCCCCACCTCACTGCAGCTTCACCAGCACACTACAATAGGTCCCTGTTCATATATAGGTAGTAGTTTAGTATATATATGTATAATATAATATAATAGACTGCTCCCCCTCCAGGCCCCTTTCAAAATAGGGTAGGGTACAGAACACTTTCGCATTTTTGCCCCTTTGATAGGGAAGTGTCCCAGGGCATTCAGAACATGTTTATGAGTATATATGAAGAGATTCCCATCCTTATTTGACCCCCTGAAGCGTCCTACATCAATAGATAAGGTCTATATGCAGGAAATCACAAAATATGTTCTCATTTGATTATTTCTAGGTGGACAGACTCATAAAAATGATTCCCAGCATCTATTTAACAATGGGAACAATGCATAAGGAGCCCAGGACCATAGGACAATGCCATGTTGCACAGTGTACCCCCCTCCTCTGGTGGTTTACCCCCTGTGAAAAGATTTCCTGCAGGACCGGACCTCAAGGAGGGTGAGGGGCCTATTCCTATGCATATTTATAGTATATCTATCATATAGCTAGCCCATGATACATGCAGGATCCTTCTACAGGAACAAAATAATAGAAATCGCATTTTTGATGTTTTTGATGTTTTTCAGTATTTCACCCTTGCCCACATGGCCCACCCAGCTCATACATCAGCAAAACATTCAGATACTTACAAGGCCGCTGATGGGCAGTACAAGGTGTACAAGCGCAACAATTCGTACAAAGTACCGCAAGACTTGTGAGGCGCGATACACACCCGTACATGCAGCAAGGTTCGATGCATATTGCTACAAACATTGCTAAGTATGTACCTTCTTGTAGACTAATGTATGGCTTGCAGCCAATGTACGACAGCTCAATGGTTGTAAGCATTTTGTTCACTTGCATGCATTCCGCGTTCATTGCAATATGATCACATTAATTGAATTAGTACAGTACACTGCTCAGCGACTACAAGTCCGAATGGAATGTGAATGGAAAATGTAAGTAATGAGGACAGAACGTGAATATTCGAATGCATGCCGAACACGAAAATTGGCGGCGCCGTCAATGTGAGGTCATGATCAAGGAATGTTTGCGAGCGAAGGTCCTGTAAGTGGTCAGAAATCAGGCAATGTGATATGAACATTGTCGAATGTCGATGCAAGCTTGAGTATTGAAAGTCAATGGTGGCCGCACTTTGGAGCTCTTGCCTTGCCGCATGTTGGTGCTTTTCGCACACGTTTGCCAGTGGGTTGCAAGTCTGAATGTTGAGCAGGTCCTTTGTTGCCGTTTTGCTGAGTTCCGCTGTCATCCAGATGGCCATTGGTGGATTGAATGTTGCCACTCGTTTCTGAAAATTTGCACCTATGATTGAGTAGAGATGTGAATCAAATAAACTCGTACCATGGTTCTCGCGTGCTCGTTTGCTGCCGTTTTGACAAGTTCCGCTATCCTGATGGCCATTGGTAGACTGAATGCCACCACTCGATTCTGAAAAATTGTACCTATGATCAAACAGAGAAGTAGTTTGAAAAATAATCTTACCGTTGTTGTTGTGTGCTCCACCAGGACCAGGACCAGTTGCAGAACTAGGATGACCATGCCCATTACTGCTGGGTCCTTGCCGTTCCTCTGCGCCGTCACCTTCGCCAGTCACAGTAGAGCCTGTGAGTGTATTGCTGCGAGCTGTGGGTCCGTTCCCACAAGGCGCTGCTGGCTCATCAGAATCGAAAAATCCATCCATGTCATCTTCGCTGTCCTCGTTCGAATTGCCTCCCTCATTGGTCCTTGCCCGAGTGCGTCCCCATTGCAGAAGCCCTGGTGTTTCACTACGTGAAGGAGTACAGCAAAGGTGAGTCACTCGTTGTGTAATCAAAGACGGACTGAATAGAACTCACACTTTCCAATGTTCGATGGTCTCCTTGATCCAACTTGCACCAGCGCCGTTGTCCTTGAACATGGTAAGGATTCTGTTGTAAAGTTTGACGAGATTGAACTCGTCGATGATCTTGCACCATTGTGTTGCTGAGCTGAGTTGAAAATATGCCTGAAATTGAATCAAGATAGTCAGTGAATGAGGTAACAATTCGTGAGTCAGAGGCTTACCTGCACTGCCGCATATGCAATAGCATGTGGTGTAGGTATTGTCATCCCATGGATCCGGCCTTTCGGAGTCTTCGTCCCTTTGCGTCCATTTGGTGAGAGGGCACTTGATGGTCCTGTGAAGATATGATGGAAAACCTATGCTGCGGGATCATACAAGTAGACACAAAGTAAACAAATGAAACATACCCGCTTGAGATAGTAGCCTCGCAGGCACCCCATACTTTTTCACATTCCATCATACATAGCTTCATCATAGATGAAGCTAGGAAGCTTGCTGGCAGTGATGTGGATGTGGCCTTCTTTCACTCCATCCATAAATGCCCTGATACATAGTTTAGTAAGCGATGTATTGAAAGTGGTTTGCGACTTACTGTGGGTCCACATCAAATTCCTCCAGGTGTTGCACAGGGCACAGAAGCCTCGCAGTTTGAGGGTGGTTCCATCCACGGCAAGTCTTTCCATGCTTCTTGAGGAGGGGAGGATTGAAACTTGATGATTCCGGATCCAGAAGCATGTATTTGAGTCCCTCTCGCATGAGACTGCCAGTGTCGTCCGATCTAGCATCACTTGCAGCTGAAACTAACTGTATAGGTATGTTAGTATGAAATTGTGACGCATATATGCACTTACCATGTGAATAAAATTGTCCATTGCCGCCGGGTCCTTTTCAAATCCTGAAATGGTGTCGCTGAATGTTGGTACAAGTTTGACCCAGTTCTTGTGATGCTGGACACGCTGCTCCATTTCACGACTGCACAAAAATCATTAGCTATCAGTACTTAGTCAGCGAACTCACCCATTTTCATCATCTTCGGGTTGGACAGGATCCTCGTCTCGCAATTCTGAAAACTCGGCCTCCATTCCATCATACAGAACTCCTTCCAGGTCCGCAAATGGATCGATTTCAAGGGGAAACCACCGGGCAGCGCGTAAGTAGGGCCCAAGTGGTCCACTCAAACAAGTTAGTGGGTTTGATGACACAAAGATGCAAGATTTTGACGTACATAATTTTTCTCTTGCGACCAGCTTTCACACCCGAATTTAGCTCATCAAGCAGGTCATGAAAATGAGTTGACGGTTCAGCAGCAGATGATTGAGGCATGGTGAAAGATGCGTTTAAGGGGCTATGATGTGATACACTCTGATACAGGTCAGGCTATGAATGTGTGTCAGAGTTCAAACTAATCTCACTCATTTTTTTCTAAGTCTATCACATGCAGCGCTGCACTGGTTGAACTCCATCTGTCCGTGTTCGATGCGGACAACATCAAAAATACTATTCTTTGCCACCCTTTGTTTTCTGATGGCTATTACATGCCAAGGCTGTCAAAGGGAGTTCAAAACACGTGGTGGACTTACCACTCATAAGTGTGCATGCACAGCCAAGCTTACAGAGGCTACAGCAACATCACTCGCAAAATGATGGCGTGATCATGAAGCCCAACAAATTGCGAAAGTTCATCGTCAAGAAGAAGTGGAAGCTGCTAGCAGGGCTTGTGACGAGATTCGTGATAATGAAGCTTTTAATCTCAGAGATGCTGATAACCTTGTGATTTCATTATTCTGCATGCTTTTTGTGCAATTATTTGACAGATTTATAAGATTCAGAGATCTCTGTCACCCCCTGTGTTTCGCTCATCAGGGTTACCAAATCGTCGCAGACGTTTACCAAAGAGATTTTGTGATGATCTCCCTCCAACACCTATTGTTGTGCCTCCATCAGCTCTCGATGATGTGTTGGCTGCAGTAGAGCATGATCCAGAGCCAAACGAGATTGATTCTGACCAACCCATTATTATTACAACGGCGCGTGATCACTATGGCATTTACTGCGAATATAACGGCTCAATTCCATCATTTAATCCTGATAACCTTACTTCAGTTGCACATGTCTCAGATGCCCCTACTTTTGCCAAGAGCCAGGATAGTACAGAGGCTCGGCCTTGGTGGTCTGGGTTCGGAAAATCAACTCAATCCAATCAGATGCAGTTTTTCACGCCATTTCTCAATGCAACAACTTTTCGGCTCATGTGGTGGTTTTATGGTGGTTCAAGTATGAAATCACTCACGGAGTTGGACCGTCTCATTGAAGAGGTTATCCTTGCAGATGATTTTGATAAAGCTCATCTCCCGAACTTCCGTGCTGTCAAAGAGGTTAATCGTCTTGATAGTTATCATGGGATCCTCAAGATATTCGGTCTTTGTTCTCGGCAGGAGATGGATGGATGGAAACATCAGTCAAGATCCGTCTCCCTGCTGATGGAGTCAAACACGATTCTGAGTCTTTGGCTCCGGAATTTGAGGTTCCTGGCCTGTTTTACCGGCGACCACTTGAAGTCATCAAGGCAGCATTCCGTGAAACTGCTGCCGAACGATTTCATCTTACTCCCTTCAAGATGTTCTATCAACCATCAGATGACGAGCCAGCTGAACATGTTTATGGGGAAATCTACAACTCACCTGTCATGCTCGAGGAGCATGAATGAATCCATTCGCAGCCATGGGAAGGTGGCTGTACACTCAAGACGGTAGTTGCTGCAGTCATGCTGTGGTCCGACTTGACTCACTTGGCAAGTTTCAGAACAGCTTCCTTATGGCCCATTTATCTGTTTCTCAGCAACCAGTCCAAGTATTTGCGAGGAAAGCCAACAGCTTTTGCTGCACACCATCTTGCCTACATTCCCAAGGTAAGATCATAAAATTCCTAATGTACTGTTCTGATGGTTTGTGGATTTGAAGCTTTCCGATACCCTCCAAGATTTCTATCAGGCTTGTTTCAATAAACCCGCTACATCTGAAATCCTCACGTTTTGTCGGCATGAGCTCATGCACGCTATCTGGCTTCTCCTCATGGATGATGAATTCATGCACGCATACGAGTTTGGTATTGTGATCAAGTTTCTCAACGGTGTTTCTCGCAGGGTATTTCCTCGATTTCTTACATACTCAGCTGATTATCCTGAAAAGTGGGTTAAAAGATGTCTGTGATGTTGTATATTGACTAATCTATGCCACAGAACCCTTCTTGCATCAATAAAATTCCTTGCACAATGTCCATGTCCCAGGTGCTTGATGCCAAAGACAAAAATCAGTGGCATTGGGACAAAGGCTGACCGACGTTGGTGCGAGAATGAAATTCGTGAAGATGGGAACGGAGTCTGGAGTATCATCAACCAAGTTCGCAAGTGGTTATATGTTGAAGGTACTAATATTGTGAGTGTGTATGTTAAGTGAATGCTCACTCCGCAATCACTTGTTCCAACATTGGTGCGTTTGTGTCTGTACTATGTGATTTATTTTCATTTAAAAATGATTTAGAACATGTTCTTGACTCGGCTTTCTCGCTTCAGCTTCAACTTTTACTCAATGTTTGTTCTGGATTTGCTTCACGAGTTTGAGCTCAGAGTCTTCAAAGCAGTCTTCATACATCTCCTGCGAGTGCTGTATGCACATGGCAATGATACCATTCAGTCATTGAACCGACGGTGAGATGTCTTGTTGTTGAATAAATCTCTCGAGTCTCACACAGCTATTTGAAGATATCGGCAAGTCCCCACCTTTGGTTGAGGTACCATTCGAAAGTTCAGCAACAACGCATCTGGAATGAAGAAGCTCACTGCACGCAATTTTGAGGACCTTTTGCAAGTAAGCATTTTCAGTTGTAATCATTCAATTGGCATCTGATATACTGTACTATTGTAGTGTGCAATTCCCATTTTCGAGGACCTTCTTCCAGCAACAATCAATGTTCTCATACTCGATCTTCTATTTGAGCTTGCCACTTGGCAAGGACTGGCCAAGCTACATATCCACACTGACTCGACATTATCCTTCCTTGACACATCAACAACTTGGATTGGCAAAGTTTTACGACACTTTGTCAGTGAAACGGAGAAAGAGTATGATACATATGACTTGCCTAGCGAAGAGGCCGCTCGTGGACGTTGGAAGGCATGCAAAGCAGCGCAGGGGCAACCCAACAGCAACATTTGTGAGAAATCTGCTGTAGGATCCTCGAAACAATGCAGATGTTTCAATTTTCAAACATACAAACTTCACGCACTCGGCGACTATGTCAATACAATCCGACGATTTGGTACTATGGACAACTACTCGACTATGCTCGTATGTGATGTATTCTTGTCATCATTATTATTTTACTGATCTATATCAGGGCGAGCTTGAACATAGGCGTGTAAAACACTTCTACCCACGAGTCAGCAAGTCACAATTTACATTGGGCATTGCGAAGCAACAATGGTGGGAGAGGATCCTATTTCGGATGGCAGAGCATGCACCATCAGCCAGGAGTAAATCAACAGGTCATAAAAAAGGTAAAGGAAAGCATCAGAATCGGAAAACAGATTCTCTCGATGCTCCGTCATTATGCTTCGAGGACTCCGAGCAACTACCTTTCACTGACCCCCACACACATTATCACATTTCTACTGGAGTACGACACTTCCTGAATATTCCTCAATGGCTCAGAAAGAATTCAAGTGATCCTGCCTTTACAGTGAGTCTGTTCAATTGCATGACATCATCTCCGAGTTACTAACATGGTCAGGATTTTCTTCCTCGACTCAAGGACCACATTATCTCACAACTAAGAGGACACGACTATGACAGCGATGAAATTTCGTTCACACCTGCTGAATGTAGTCATGTCATCTTCATCAACAACCGAATCTATCGACATAAAGTGCTCCGTGTCAACTACATGTCATATGACTTACAACGAGCACAGGACTCTCAATCCCCGCACTCACACTGATATCATGGTCTTGTCTCACGAAAACAACAACATTGATGCACATCCATATTGGTATGCTCGGATCATTGGTGTGTTTCACACGTTTGTCATTTTCAATGACACTGCCATGGGCACATTGTCACACGAGCAAAAGCAGATAGATTTTGTTTGGGTCCATTGGTTCGGTCACAACCTTGAGCATTGAGCAGGCTGGCAAGCAAAGCGGCTACATCATGTTGGCTTCATTCCACACAGCAACCCTGGAGCATTTGGATTTATTGACCCCAAGCAAATCATTCGTGGAATCCACCTGATACCCGCCTTCACAAAGGGTCACACAACAGACTTACTTCCGCCATCTATTGTGCGCCATCCCAGCGAGAATGACGAGGACTGGATCTACTACTATGTCAATGTGTGAGTCTTTTTTACTTGAATAAAAGTTTGTTGTTGATGCACTACTAGTTTTGTTGACTGCGATATGTTCATGAGATTTCGTGGTGGTGGCATGGGACATTGAACGACTTGCGAAGCAACACAGTGCTTCTTCCACAATCGTGATCTGCTTGATGTTGTCGGGCTGAACAGCGGAGGCACTGATCATGATGATGACGAGATCATCGAGCCAAGCATTGGCCCCTCCACTACTGCCAACCACACCCTGGAGCTAGAGAATGACTCGGACGAGCTGGAGTATGACAACTATGATTACTCCAGTATTGAGCAAAGAGAAGATGGCGAGGACAGTGACAAGGATGCTGACAAAGCAGATGACAACGGGAACATCGACAAAGAAGATGATGATGATGGAGTGGATGATGACTTAGGTGCAGAGGATGGCAAGGATGGTGACGAGGAGTTAGAAGGATTCGACGAGTTCTGACGAGATACATGTTCTTCACCACTGAATACTATGGCACTTGTTTGCTTCACAACCGGCTTGTCATTGCACTGGCAAATGCCTTCCAATCTCTGTGCATTCATATATTGTGCATTTAGTGCATACATCCCTCCCATGTGATACATACACGCTGCAAACCCATACATACCTTGTGCAAGTCTTGCGGTGATTTGTAAGCGCTGCATGGGCATGCACCACGCACGCACTTTTGTTGATGTATATCATTAGTGGTACACACATATATATGTCCTGTGCTAAGGATCAACTAGATATAGGGCGGAAAATTGAGATCTGATGTAAAGGGGGTATTTCTACTGATCAGGAGCCTGCATGGTAATCAAGACCATGATAAGTGATCAGAGACCTAGGATATCTTTCCTATATGTCCCTGATGATAGCCCTAAAACCTTAGAGAGATCTATGAAGGATTGACTAAATGACAGGTAAAATGACATATGTGTGAAAAGTGACAATTGACATCTTTTCACACAAAGTCACATTTATATATGATACAGGTTGAAGGTATCATTAAAAATACATAGGATATATGGTAAACTATCTAAGGAACCTATACTACCTAATGCCCTGAGGATAGAGGGTGGGTTGAAGAGATGTAGTGTAAATATGAGTTGACCCAGCATTAAAGTCCTACCACTGCTCAACTCACCATTTTCGATGTTTTGGGCCTTTGAAGTTTCACACACTCAATTTCTTATCTATTTCACTTCCTCAGCACTCAAATCTTGTTATATTGTGCTATAAATTTGTATATATGATACTGGATATATTTGAAATGTACTCCAGGTTTCTGATTATCAGAATTCGATGTTTTGAAGGTATGGTCCCCTTATCAGTAGAAATAGCAAGTATATACACTACCTCAACACTCCAGCCTATTTTGAGCTGATCCTTAGTACAAGACACATATATGCATGTACCACTGATGATATATGAGCTGGGTGGGCCATGTGGGCAAGGGTGAAATACTGAAAAACATCAAAAACATCAAAAATGCGATTTCTATTATTTTGTTCCTGTAGAAGGATCCTGCATGTATCATGGGCTAGCTATATGATAGATATACTATAAATATGCATAGGAATAGGCCCCTCACCCTCCTTGAGGTCCGGTCCTGCAGGAAATCTTTTCACAGGGGGTAAACCACCAGAGGAGGGGGGTACACTGTGCAACATGGCATTGTCCTATGGTCCTGGGCTCCTTATGCATTGTTCCCATTGTTAAATAGATGCTGGGAATCATTTTTATGAGTCTGTCCACCTAGAAATAATCAAATGAGAACATATTTTGTGATTTCCTGCATATAGACCTTATCTATTGATGTAGGACGCTTCAGGGGGTCAAATAAGGATGGGAATCTCTTCATATATACTCATAAACATGTTCTGAATGCCCTGGGACACTTCCCTATCAAAGGGGCAAAAATGCGAAAGTGTTCTGTACCCTACCCTATTTTGAAAGGGGCCTGGAGGGGGAGCAGTCTATTATATTATATTATACATATATATACTAAACTACTACCTATATATGAACAGGGACCTATTGTAGTGTGCTGGTGAAGCTGCAGTGAGGTGGGGAGGGTGTGAGAATAATTATAATTGTGGGGTATACCAAAATGGGTGATGTTTGAGGTGTTGTGGGGTAATTCCCACACCATGTGGCTGAAAAATGCGGAGGTATGGTGTGTGGGAATAATGTGGGGAGACCTGACATGATGATGCATCAATGATGCATCACTATGCATCATTTTGCCAACTGGGATCATCAGATGAGGTTCAGGCACCACTGCTCACTGAACATGGTTGATGCATCATCAAAATCTGCTACTTAGCCTGTTTTTATGCATCATTATGACAGTATAGCCTGGTTTTACTAATACATCTGACAGAATATTTGTTGTTTTTGGCTTCGTGTATCAGTTTCGCTGCTCCATCCTCATATTAATGAACCCCCTCCCCCCTGCCGTCACTTTCCGCTCGTCTGAGCCGTCATTTTACTCTACTTTTTGCGCTTTTCAACCACTTTCTCTCTCCACTATTTGCACTTTTGGACTACTTTTTTTTGTGTAGTTGACTTTTAATGCCTATGATTGTGCTCTTTCAAGTGGGTCTCGCAAAAATAAGTGTGAAAAAGTTGAGAATATGTATCATTTGAGTAGAGAGATCTACTGAAAAAAGTTGAAACTGCTTTTTTCGACTTTGCACTACTTGCCTACTACGACATGCAAAAAGTTGGATATAAGCGGGTAAAAAGTGAATGCGTGATTTCCTGATGCATATGATATTACCATCTTTATATTTCTAGACATAAAAGCCTGCTCTTATCGATGCAACAGTTATCTGACTATGTAGTCGATTATGTTGAGAGATGCAACGAATCAAGTTCGAAGGGGACATGTAGAGATCGTGAAAGATGGTTTACAATAGATGTATGAATAATACCAACAAATCAATATAATTGAGAGACGTTCGGGCCTGATACTAAGGGTGAATACTGGGTAATTTCAGATGATCGTTAAAGAGGATACATGCCATCTTACAGCTCTTTGCATAAAGGATGGCAGTGGCGTAATTTTTTCGTTCAATTAGGAAATGTTGGACTTAGTGAAATTTTGCTCATTGTACACTCATATTCCCTGTAATTCATTATCATCATGCCATTTATAACTATTCCTGCCTCTAAAAACACAAGAGCCTGCTAGAGCATGACAGTGACCTTGATTCCAATGGCTCCGATGAGGACAATACTCAAATCAAAGAACTTTCGGATGAAGAGGAACCTGACTTTGACTCTGACGGCGAAGATAACGAGCCTGAGCAGTCCCAGCCCACAAAGATCCTTACACCACCTTGAGTTTCTTGTAGCTCACATCAGCACATTCGAGCTTGCAGAAGATTGTCGTGAAATGGACAGATATGAATTGGTTTGTTGCAAGGAGGTGCATGAGCTCGTCCAAAATATAGTCAGGATTCTGCCTTACAAGACAAAGCAGGCAATCAATATCTTCATGATCGAGAGCACACAGACGACCACGCATTACTGTGCTAGGCTGATGCCGTCGTTCACGACATCGCCGGTTTGGTGCCAGAGCCTCAAAATCCGAAACCAAGTGCGTTCGGAAAACACCTGATGTTGCTGGATGGATATATCCTTTTGGGCTATAGCCCTAAAACTAGGATACATCATTCAGTTAGATTATCCATTATCTATTATCCAGATGGATGTATCCCATGGTGGATCCCATCTGTTGCATACACAGCCGCATTTTTCGCATTTTTGAAACTCAGCTGTTTGTCATTCCAGGATATATTCATTATTCACAAAACATATCCCATTTTGGTCACTTCATTGTCAGGTCTTCCTGCGAGAAACTCACCGTCGGTCGTGGGAGATTTGCGGTCTGGTTTGCGGTCCCAACTTCCCAATCGAGCGGTGGCGGTGCCAGGACCCCTGGCACCCAGCCGTGCGTGCATGTTGAAGGGAAGGGGACGAAGGAGGCGCGGGTTCGGTGTAAGAGGACGTGGCAGGAGAGACGGGAAGGGACTCAACGTGGTGGAGTAGGCAGTAGGGCAAGAAGCAGCTCGAGCAGTCAAGCAGTTAGGCAGTTAAGCAATGAAAGTGCAATTAAAAGGTGCAACATACTTGCAAGGTACTCTACTGGTAGTTTAGCAAGACGGCATGGAGCCGTCAATAGAGAAAGGAAAGGAGAAGGGATGGAAAATGCTGCAAGGAGAGAGGCTGGTGTGGGGTGGAGACAATGAACAGGCAGAGCATGTAGTAGTGCAGTACATGCTGGCAGTGATGATGGCTGCAGCTGTGGCAAACTCGGATCTCGTGAACCCTCCCAGCGCTGGGCGAGTGCAACGTTGACGGCAAGCAACTCCCTCCACTTGCGGGCGACATCGACATCCTTGCTCATCAGCTTCGAAACACCAGACTTCGCATACCTGAATACTCCTTGCGCATCAGGGTGGTCGAGGTTGCCATCGAAGAACGAGCATGCAGCGGCAGCGTCTCGCGTGTCACGAGCCACACGCTGACGCTGCAGAGTGTCGCAGAGCTTCGTGTATCCGACACGCTGGCCATTGGTGTCCGTCCAGGCGATCCAGAATGCATCGTCCGATGCGAAACGCGAACGCTCCTCGACGATGAACCGTGGTTTGAAAAAAAAAGAGGTGTGTCAGTCATTTCCGAGTTGGAGCTGCAGGAACTCACCTTCCACTGCCCCCACTGCACTTTCCGCAGTGCCCATGCCTTGCTGTTCTGTCCGGTGCACTTTTTGTACACATCCCCCCAAAACTTGACGGGGATTCCACGCCCATTCACCACCAGGTACGTCGAATGGTGCCACTCTCTGAACAGAGCGCTGATGTCCGTCGAAAAGCGCACAGCTGGTGGTGGCATGACCGTGGTCTTGTCGAACGCCAGCTCTCCATTGTCCAGCTGAAGAACGGCGAGATTGGAGGGTGGGATGGATTGTGTGGGAACAGCGGCCATCTCAGTGACGGAGGTAGGCATTTTGAATGGTTGTGCAGTGGAAGACAAGCTGCGTTGATGCAGCGAGAGGGCAAGGGTGTGCTGGTTGAAGTGGTTGCTGAGAAACCCCAGCACTGAAAGCATCAAAGCTTGTGCGGAGGAGGGGAGCAAGCTCGCAAGCAATTCGGTTGCCAATCCCCATCTCGAGGTTGTTCACTCGCTCGACGAAGGTGCCTTCCAGACTGG